ACCCTACAAAAAATGAGTCCAGTGCGGACTTCTCCCAAGGTCTTGGTAAAATTTTCCCGTGTCTAAAGTCCAAGTGCGGACACTGGTCACATAATTTTGACAATTGTTTTCATTTTACCCTCCAAAAAGAAAATCCAGTGCGGACTCGGCTTATCATCTTCGGCATCATGCCTACGGTACGAAAGACCACGTTAACAGGCTTTTAACGTAGATGGTATGGCTTCACACATACTTTTCAACTTTACTGAGTTGTCCTTGAGTAAACACACTTCAACCATGTCCAGCAAGATAATCCCCCAATCAATGAAATAAACAACCTCCTGTAGTGTAGACAACACAGCCGTTGGAGTGATGGTTGGAACTACATGTACATATGTACTGTCAATATGGCCAGGGGCGGATCCAGGATTTTCAAAAGGGGGGGGGGCACAAAAACTTTGTGCGCGTTGCACACATAACGAGACTGAAGCGCGAAATCCCTTGCGGGCGGGGTTGAGGGCACTGGAAGCTCTACGATTTTAGATGTTCTCTCCTACATCATGAGTATTTTAAGCCATTTAGAGCAAAATTCACAATGTATATTTTTTAATTTTAATAACACTATTTTTTTTCTATCAAATATAGAATTTCAAGTCACTGTTGATGTTAGTTGAAAATGAACCCCAAAATTAGAAGGTGCAGATGACAGCCCCCGGGTGAAAAAAATGAACATGTGTTATTTTGCGAGCGAGCGGAGCGAGCGAGCCAAAAAATGTCATCTTTACTATTAAAACATACATTTCTACCCAGAAATTTGCCTTGCAAACAAAGAAAATAAAATAAATTGAATTTCAGTAGGGGACAGCCCCCACCCCACCCCATTTTGGTTGCTGTTATTGTCGTTTCATTTTTTCTTTTTTTTGTGCTTCCATCATCATTAGTAATAAATTATTCCATTTAACGGAAATGCAAACTGCATCCAAATTCCAATTTCCAAAATATGAAAAACTTTGCCTGCACAAATTTTCCGAAAGCGGCAGCATTCCTGAGCTGCCGCTTTCACATACAAGGTTTCAAAATAGTCATATACAAGATTTCTAGCTACGCAACCGGCAGTCCCAGGCATCACAGGGGAGCCTCCTAGCAACAGTATTTCTAAGCAACCAGGTTGGAATGTGATGGCATGCAGCCATGCACCTGTGGCTCAGATAGCTAATCACTCCAGTTGCGCGTGGAAGGAAGTCATATTCATGAAAGCACACGGTCCGTGATGAAAGCAACCAATGGCACATTTATTTGCGGGGAACCGGCTCATTTCATTGGCTGAGATACTATCATCAATGTTTATCATCTAAGAATCTTCCAATTACTGGTGAGAAGTTCTCAAAGGCCTTAAAGTTGGGTGGCCTACAGCTGAACCCAAACGTATATGCTTTGTAACGAACAAGAGTGGCATGTATCAATTTGAACAATGCGGCTATCAATCATTCTCTGGAAAGGCCTTTTCGGAGCTGAGATTTTATTTGGGCATTTTTTTCCCCCAGAGACAGGGGAAAACTTTATGCGAAAAATGTGGGTAACTGAATTGAACGTGAAATTTCACCTCCGTGTTGTGTACATGCACATAGATAAACGATTGGGGATGATATTCCAAGTCCAAATAATTCGTTAAATGTAGGGCTCCCGATGTCTTTTTTTCGTAGTACGATTTTATTCCTCGCTTATTTAAAAAAATAAAACTGCATGGCCTACATTATTTTTTGTAAATGTTACTCTAGAATATAATTAATTCGGAATACATTTTGAAATTAAGTTTGAAGTCAAAGGGCTGTTGATAACCTTATTCGTATTCCTTTTTACAACTAGGAAAAACTAAGCATAATTCGTATTAAAATTTCCCCTGGAATCTACAAAAGAAATAACTGAGAGTTCAGAACTTAATGGGCTAGGGTGTTTGAAATTGTTTTACTTTAAAAATAAATCGAGAGAACAAGACATACTTAATCGTATTAAAATAACCCCTATTTATTTGATGTCTCTCTCTATCTGAGTCCGGGACAATATAAAAGGGATGACGATTAATTCTTCGTGTATTTAAAAAATAAAACGCATGGCCTACATTATTTTGTGAAAATGTTTTACTCTAGAATATATTTTGACGCTGTTATTTGAGGGATGTTGTTAATCCTGATAATATTCATTTAAAAATAAGAAAAACCGAGCATAATTCGTATTAAATTTCCCCTGGAATCTACAAAAGAATTAACTTAAAGTGCAAACTTTAACGGGCTAGTTTTTTTTTAATCATTTTGCTTTTAAAAAAATAATTAGAGAACCAGACGTAAATCTCTCTCTGAGGCCGGGAAAATAAAAAAAAAGGGGGATGACGATTTTATTCCTCATTTATTAAAAAAAAACACATGGCCTACATTATTTCGTGTACCGGTACATGTTCTACTCTAGAATATATTTTGGAATATATTTTGACATGAAGCATTAAATGCAAGTGCTGTATTAAATGTGCCCCCTATTCCAGCCGGGAAATAGAAAAGTGTCTTATAAAAATATATTCTTGCTTTGAAAGAAATTTTGAGACAATGATTGACAGGCGACCTTCAAAACTTATACATTGTATATTTTGGTTGATAATTATGTATGATAGTTATGTTCAAAGCGATTGATTTGATGACCGCCCGTCCGCCCGCCATAATGGTTCCGCGCGTGAACATGACCACATGGACGTGCACATTAATCGGTAATAATCGTTCTCTGTCACTACTGTATTGGTTTTTACCGTTCAAATAAGAAAACTAAATAACATTTCATACACGTGATTACTAAGATATTTATATCAACTTATATCAAGACATTCAGTTGTAAAATTGTAAGCTGGACCATTTAGGCAGGTTCCTTTATCGCACTCATTATAGGATTAGTGGGGATAACAATCTTAATCCCCTAATAAATCATGCACTCTCCTTTTATTAGAAAAGATCCAAAAATATGAATGAGGACGGGCCCAACCAATGGTTGGGTCGGCTCCTTAACTGCTGGGCTTGTCATGCATTATTTCAGGTTTTTACGTGTCCCTAAAAATTCATTTTCGTCAGAAAATAATTCCTTTATATGACAATTGAAATAAAAAACGTGTAAAGATGCACCTGAAAAATCCCATGGACAGCTTAAAAACAATGCCACAATTTTTCGAATGGCCCGCTTTCGCGGCTTTTTGACCCAAAGCCGCGCCCACTTACGCTACTTCTTGTCAAGGGCCATAATATAATGTTTATACACATACCCGCTGACCAAAAGTCATGTCCGTGATCACGTTAGTGGCTAAGCCCGTCGAGTTCCGTATTAAACGGCCCAGCAGTTTGGCCAGACAGCCGACTATTTCATTCCCGTCGAAAAAATATTAACAACAAAAAATGTATAAGCTTTATCTTCCCGTGTGGATTTCGTTTTGTTCAGAAACCTCGTCAAAAAGACGGTCATGATGACGATCCTTACGAGTAATATAAACACAAAACAAATTTCACAGTAGAGATCGCTTTTGTAAACAGAACTGCTCAAAGAGTTTACTTGTAAAATTTGTGTACTTGTTAACTATAAAAAGGAGGGATTTTCCTTTTGACCAGATTTTCACACCCCTTTCTCAAGAGTGGAAGAGGAGCACGGGCCATGCAGGGCTCACAGTTCAATCATAGAGCTGTGTTTTATTTCAATTCAGTGCGGGCATCGTGTCCTATGTCCCGAAGAAATTTGTCGCGGGCATTGTGTTTGTTTACCTGAACATTTCACAAGCATGCCGACGTGCGGGCATTGGGGCTTGTGGTTTGGGAAAATGCGGGCATTGGGGCTTGTGGTTTAGGAGAGTGCGGGCATCGGGGCTTGTGGTTTAGGAGAGTGTGGGCATGGGGGCTTGTGGTTAGGAATTCTAAGAAAGGGTTCGGGACCCCCAATGCCCGGCAACCCATAGGTCCCGATAAACGGGCATTGTGCCATGGTAAATTCTGGGCGGTACTGTATCTATAATTTCCAGGAAAAAAAATTAGTCATTCAGAATATTTTTAATCACAAAAATTCACTCTGAAAGAATTATGAAGACGTTGCCACAAAAAGCTCATTTGATGCTTCACATTTAATTTAAAAACATTTTTTCTCCCATCCGTCGCACACAACGCCATCTTTGATCTTCTGAAACCACCTCGCGAGCAGGATCTATTAATACGTGATCCAGAGCAGCTATAAACACGCTGGATCACTGATCGCGATCCGGATCTTCGCAAAACAAACAGGCCATTAGAGTCGGCCGACCAGCTTTGGAAATTGATACAAAAATTTGTCCTTTCTCGGAAATGACAGCGCACAAGGTGCCATGATTTTACTTGTCTAGGAGCTAGACGTTGTTATGGTTTGATACGCGATAACCCGCCGCAGCGATAACCTGTCACCGCGAGAGGGCGCTATCACGTTCAATCAATATCACCCACGAACCGTCAGTAAAACGTCTAGGCCAACTCCTAAAATCTCCCGAAAAATGGGGGAAACTAGTGCGCATGCGCGACTTCTGCAGGTAATTACTGTCCATTTTCAGTCCCACACATACTACACATAACAAAAGAGCTGACCAGTGAAGTTGCACAAACGTCTTGCTGCATCTTTTATATTACTGGAAGAAATTTGAGAGTTTGCTTCTGAACTACTATGAATTTTTTTCTAATTGCGCGCTGCATATATTAGGCCAAACAGGTGCGCGCGCATTACACAACCAGTACGAATTGGCTTAGGTGTTGTTCCCTTTAAATTCTGATTGTCTAGGGATGAACCTGACGTTGACACTGGATACAAAAATCCTTTATTTTAATTTCATTGGATTTTTCATGTTGGGTAGATACGAGTTAGATACATGTGCATTTTAATATTCAATGTTGTCCTTCAATGGGGATAAAAATGCCCTCCGTGATTTGTTAAAAAAAATCTCATGATTCCTCATTTTCTGTTTTGGTTTTACGATTCAGGAGGCGGCGACGTCGGAGGAGGAGAGCCGTTTGCTCAAGATGCACGACACGGTCCAGCAGCTTCCCCCGCCCCACTACCGCACCTTGCAGTTCCTGATCAAGCACCTGGCCAAGATGGCTACCCACGGAAACCAGACTGGAATGACCACCAAGAACCTGGCCATAGTCTGGGCACCAAACCTCCTCAGGTATGGTTTAATGATGGGTGGTGCTAAGGTCACCAGACCTGGTTGTAGTCTGGGTACCAAACCCCCTTGGTTATGCTTAAAAATGGGGTGTGTCCTGGTGCCCAGATCTAGCCATAGTCTGGGAACCAAGTCTCTTTAACCCTAACCACCCTGAATCCTTCAAAATCCTCTTTGCCAAAGTGGAGGAATTTGGAGGATTGAGGTTACATGGCAAAAGTGCGTTACTGATTTCCTAGGGTGCACTTTGTCAAGGTCGTGGGCCAGACCTTGTGCTGTTTTTGCTCAGCCATGCATAAATATAGACCTGGATTATGCATGAAATCCTCCGTACCGCTCCAGGATGTCACTGGCCAAGACTCAACATACTGACAGTCACTGCCGCAGGATTTTGCAGGATTCAGGCTGTGGTCACCCATCCACGGACCATATTCAAGAAATAATGGAAGAATTTGTAGGATTGAGGCTACATGTACATGTATATGCTATTTTTTCTATGAGCCCAATTGGAGGATTTTGCAAAATTGAGGCTACATCCTAGCAAAAAGGCCTAGGGAGTTGAGTTACTGTTGTGAAATTACACAGGCTTTATTGCCCAACGATTATAGATTAACCCTCCTACTATTTAAACAGTCACAGACAGTCAAAATTTCCAACCACTTCCCCTGCTATACTTTTAACACAGGCTAGTCAATAACAGTCAGATCATATGTCAAGCAAGCACTGTGACTAGTCAAACTCAGTCAACAGACCATGAACAGACAAAGCAGACTAGTTGTGGACACAGCTGACTTATCAATTACCCACAGTCAAAGCAAAGCTGTATCAAGTTACATAAACAGTCATGTAAGTCATGTACTCAACCACCGCAAGCTTGGTGGTCGAGTGGTAAGACATCTGCCCTAGAAAGCAGGAGGTCGTGGGTTCGAGTCCCACCCGAGTGATTTTTTTCCAACTTTCACTCCGGAGGTAACACACTGAGTATACAGTGTTTATACGTCGGTGAAGGGCAACACCTAATATTGATAAACAGTCATGGCAAAGCAATCCTGCTTTATGTGGGCTGGGAATTTTTAACTATCGAAAACAGTCACTTGATTGATTTTGACTGAAAGGACTAAATTTTATAATTATCTGATTTCCTTTGTCTCAGAATGGAGGTCCTTGTCTTGAACTAATGGCTAACATTTTTATCCCCCTGGCTTTCAAGCTAGACAGGGGGATACTGCGATCGCGTATTCCTTCTGTCTGTCCATGTGTGTTCCTGTTCACTGTAAGTTCAGTCATCAATCTCAAACAAACTTGAAAGGTGCTCTGTGGAGAGAAGGCCGATGTCAAAAAAATCCTTTCCAATATAGACATTTACGAGGTCTCTGGAGAGCTCAGCTCAGTATTACGAATAACTCTAACATATGTTAGTCCGGTGTCTCACCCGAACTCTCCATTCAACCCAAACTCCCCATTCAACTGAGAACTTGTGCCTGCCGGGTGGACAATCAAGGCCGTCACTAACAATCGTCCTTACTAACTGCCTGTACATGTACCGGTACATGTATACAAACTGGCAGGTTACCAGGCGAATTGCGCAAGTTTTACGTGCAGTATTTTTGATTATTTGTGTCTGTGGTTCTTTTACCTTTCAGGTCTAAGGACTTAATCCTAGCCACTGCAGCGGCCTTCATGGAGATCAAGATCCAGGCCACGGTGGTGGAGTATCTGATCCGCAAAGCCGACGTCATCTTTAATGACAAACTCTTCCCCGATGTCCCGGGAAGACGTGAGTACAAACAATGGATTCATGATTTCAACAAAAGAACTTCACAAGCCTTCACACGCAACTTATCCTCAGTTTCTAAGTTTCTGGAAAAATACAATTTTCCTTGAAAATGTTGGCACACCAGGAGCCAAAATTTTACTGGATGCTTTAGACTGTCATTCCCTAACAATCCAGTAAGGTATTTCGTGAGAACTTGATCATTTCATTTCATGATGTTGGCAAATGTTGCATCTTCCCTTTAAGCGAGATACGACCTTGTAACATTCTAAGACTCGCGTTTCATGTAAACGCTATTTTTAGGACCTTGTTGCCCTGACACAACATTTTGTCATTCACCAGTGATGGGTCAGGAGATGCAACGCCCCAAATCCCTGGTCCTGTCCACCCCGACCAAGCTTCTCTCCTTGGAGGAGGCCAGGGCCCGCACTGCCTCCCAGGGGGCGGAGCTTGACGACAAGCCGCGGTACATCGAGGTGGGAGGTGGTCCAGCAGCGCTACCCAAGCAGTACCACACCGTCATAGATTTGCCGATGGAAAGGTAAAAATGTCTAAAAAATCTTAGCATTTACGTATAAAAGTGCTTTCTACAGGTATTTCAAAGTATTCTTGTAAAAAAAAAAAATTAAAGTCTGTCACAAGCCAATATGGTTCATCAGGCCAGCGTTTATCTCCGGTTACCTTGGCATGAAAGGACTGAGAATATTTCTGGATGGGATGCCAGTCCATCGCAGGTTACTCCCCAGCTAATGCTGGTACCCATTTATACTCCTGGGTGGAGAGAGGCAGTTGGAGTGAAGTGTCTCGCCCAAGGGCACAACATGTGACCAGCAGCTGGATTCGAACCCCTGACCCTTTAATCATGAGTCACAAACCCTAACAACTAGCCCACCCTAGCTCCCCAACAAAGTGCGATTGGCTGTGCCAATATGTTTTCAAATGAGATGATGTTTTGCTGTATTTTCGTATTAGGAAGAGCACCAACTCCGACAAGTCTAAGAAGTTGCCTGTTCGAAAGGCCTTCTTCCTAATACATGTACATCAGCACACAATTTACAGTCTCTTCCTTTCTTTGTGTTTACTAGAAAAAGAGCCTTCTGTGCCAAGTCCAAAAAACATTGCCAAAGCTGGAAGGCACTTTCCATATCACTGAAATGTTTTCTGCGATGTGCTCTTCATCAGTTTACTGAAGCTTAAATCATTTTTCATATGTTTATAATTTTTTTCAAAATTGAACAAAGAAAATCGATTGGAGACTGGGTTGGAACCTGCAACCTCCGGATTGTCGTTCCGGTGCTCTACCAACTGAGCTATCCAGCCCTATGTTGGCGCTTAGGCGGTTCCCCATGTTGTCAATGTCTTCGTTCAAGGGGCACTAGTCATAAGCCATAAACCCATTACATGCCATGTAGCCAGGGATCACGCCCAAAGTCACGATGCAAGCAACATTAGCAATGCTAATGAATGAAAGGTTTGCAGAACACAATGTGCGAATATTTTCTCAAACTAAGAGAATAGTTCTGAAAAGAAACGGAGGTATAAACTTGACGTTCCGGCCATTATGCTCTGACCGTCTTCAGGAGAGTGCCTAAATTCTAAGAAAGTAAACATGAAGTAGCAAAAGCGTAATCGGTGAAGTGTGAAGTTGCATCCTGTTTGGATGCCAAGTATTGGTAGTTAGGAGTTTAGAGCAAGCTTGCTGTGCCCACTGAAGTGGAACAGTTTTATACCTCTGGTTCTTTTCAGAACCATTCTCTTAGTTGAGAAATTATTCGCACATGGTGTTTCCGCAGACCTTTCATTCATTAGTATCTCCAACATGCAAAGCCTCAAATCTTACTTATTAGCAATGCTGCAAACTTGGGGAAAAAAGCAAACAGGGATCACTCGGTCAGTTTCCCTTTGTGATGTATTCGAAAATGTATTTGTTTTTTTTTAGAAAACGAGCCTCCTTCTCAGCCAAGTCCAAGAAGTCGCCCGGCTGGAAGGCCTTCTTCTCTCGCTCGGGCTCCAAGGAGGGTAAGAAGAAGGACGGGGAGGAGCTGATGAAAGGGCTGGGGCGCAGCGGCCTGCGCTCAGTGCGCAGTGTGGAGTCCCTCAACTCCAGTAACTCCAGCTATGACGGCCAACGCAGCGGCGACAGCAATGGTGAGTGATACGGTCACAATAATTACAGTCAAGTCAAGTCCATCACAAGTTAGTCACTAGTCCGGTCACTAGTTAAAGGGGATGTAGAACAACAAAGTAGGCCATCAGCCTGGGGGTTTGGTCGGTATCAAATGAGGGGAATAATGCTCATTGTGATTTTTGGCAAGGTGTGCACCCCTGTAGTTGGAAAAATATGTGATGGCATTGCAGCGGTAGCAGCTTTTTGGGTGCTATCACTTTTTTAAAATAATGGCGGCCAAAACTTGCTTGTTTCCACATAGAATTAATCCGGTAACAAGCATATTGGCGGCCATTTTGAAAAATAAATTAAAAGTGATAAGGCCAAACAAAAAAAATATTCGGTCTCTGGTCAGACCAAAGTTCCGGAATTGACGCGGCCACGCGGCTTCTTTTTTTTTTTTTTTTCTTCAAGCTTGGATTGTACAGACAAGGTGGGGTACTATTTTGCTTTTTTGGTGTCCTCATGTACATTGGTGTCCTCCATAATTTGCCTTGGTGCTTTCGATCATTTGCCGTGGTGCAATTTCCCATTCCTTGCTGCTCTTTGGTAAAAAAAAATTGAGGAGGTGCGGAAATAGAGGGCGCTGTTGGAGCTACCGCGGAACATTTTGGAGAAAAAAAAGATCGACGCGCATGATTAAAATTGACGCGTGCGCTGACCAGAGGCCGACTTATTTTTTTTTTGGGCCTAACACCCAATAAGATGCCATCGCTCACACTGGAAAGCCATCACACATTTTCCAACTCCAGATGTTCATACCTTGCCAAAAATCGCTATGAGCATTGACCCTTTCGATCGTTTGATACTGGTGGCCATATTTTTGGACCGAAGCTGATAACCTGAAGCCCTTACCACAGTTCAGCTGAATAGCTAGTGTTTTGTCGTGGGACGGGATGACTTGTGAAGGCCTTGTGATGGACTCGACTGCAACACTGAATGCTTTTAAAGTGACTGTCCTGGAGGGCAGTGCTTTCATCCACTCTGGAGGTGACATTTGCAGGATTGTGAGATTTGGAAGCTTAGGCCCAAAAAAAAAGTCTCCGGTTTCTGGTATGCGCGCGCGTCGCCGTAGCCCTGCGCGTCGGCAAAATGAAAAAGTATTTTTTTCAATGAAAGATGATGTCTCAAAACCGCCAAACTCACTGGTTCGACTGGAATTCTGCTGCTGCACAATTTTAACATGTTTTTAGATGGGGTTATGATCGAGAATAAGCTTTATGTGGCCTCTCTGGACTCCCATATATTTGCACTAAGTTTAGTCGGGCACCATTTGCAGTCATCAGCCGACATTTGAAGCAAAAAAGTCAGGTAAAAAATATTTTAAAAAGCCGCGTCGTCGCACCACTTTTTGGGAAAGCTCCATACCAGAAACTGGAGACTTTTTTTTTTTGGCCTTAGAGGCACTTTTATTTTAATCGAGTGAGCCGTCCCTTAAAGGGAATATACTACATTTGCAAACATAAAAAAAACCTACCAAGCAATCACGAAATACCTTACTGGACTGTTAGTGAATGACAGTCTGAAGCATCCTGTAAAATCATGGCACCAGGTGTGCTGTCATTTTCAAGAAAAGTGGTGTTTTTGTATCAATTTCCAACGCTGGTCGGCCGACCAGCGTTGGAAAAACTGGTGCTTTTTTAAACACTGCCCCCAATTTACCATATTTAGTTAAGTCGCATTTTGTTTACATCGATTACACACCTATGAATGGGTACAAGACGGCTAGACTGGTTCCCTGACCTTACAATTCTCCGACGTCTATAAAATGTTGTTTCATCTTAAGAGGGGTCAGGGAACCAGACTACAGGAACATGATTGTTTTTCTTAGTTTTTCCAGCATCTACGAACCCGAAACTTCAAACAAGTCAAACCCCCCAAATCCATCCATTTCTAAAAAATTACAGCAAAAGTAAATGTTGTATATTCCCTTTACTGAAGTGCAAACAGTGCCATTTGATTTAAGCACAGGGCCCAATTTCATAGCACTGCTTAGCAGCACTATGACAGTTTTTTTGTAACTTTAGCAAAAAGTTGTGCTTGCTATAGCAGAAACTCATGCTAGTGCTTAAGCACTGTTTCATGGCGTGGATGTGCTAACGGTTGCGCGCACATGGAGATTTGTATTGTAACATCACTGCTTTTAAGCAACTGTTTCCTCTTGGGTTAAGCATTCTTTTGCTGGGCTTAACTGCTTACAGTGTCTGTGAAATAGATGGAGGCCTGGTAAGCACAATATTGGCTGTTGACCCCTTAAGGACGGGGTGCAATGGGGACATTCCTCCACACATGGAGCAAGTGACCCACATGACTGCACAGCCTTTGTGTGGTAGCGGGACTGCACAAAAGCAGCAGCTGTGGAACTACCCACTAGCCGTGTGCCACAGCATACCACAGCTGGCAACTGCATTCCAATGAGGATTAGCGGCCGCGGCCATAACAGTTGCGCGCACATGGGAATTTTTATTGTAACGCCACTGCTTTCTATTGTAAAGCAACTTTTTCCTCTGGGGTTAAGCGTGCTTTTGCTGGGCTTACTGCTAACGGTCTCTTTGAAATAGATGGAGGCTTGGTAGGTACAAAATTGGCTGCAAAGCAGCGCTTTGAAATCGGGCCCAGATAGGGATTAGGGAGGATTCAGGAAAGTGTCTGGCAAAAACTGCCTTGGGAGTGAGGGTAACTTGTTGGAATTGCAGTAGAAATTGGCAAGATACTGGATAAGCCAAATAGCAGATGTTGAGTCATAATGTGTTTGTCCAATCTTTTCAAGTAGCTACTCGTAGCAAACCTGACTTTCCTCTTTTCTGTTGGTGTAGGTTCTCATAAAGTCATCATGCGGAGAAACTCCGTTGCCTGTGTGGACAGCTCCAGCCTGAAACGTGCCTCCTCCCACGATTCCTTCTTTGAGGTGGATGCAGCCACCATCGCCGCGGCTACGGAGGACTTCCTTGCCTCGACGGCGCATCTCAACAACCAGGACGACTCCGATGACGAGATCTTCCTCAGGGAAAAGAAGGTTGAGTTTGGCGATGTTGCCAAGAGCGAGCCGGAGCGGAGGAAGTCCAGCCCGCTGTGGATCGACCAGAGCATCAGCAGCTCGGAATCCAACATGACCTCTCCCAAGACGCCGTTGCTGCTGACGCCGAGGGACATCTCCACGGAGACAAAACCCAAGACGACGACGGGAGAGGAGAACCTGCTGGAGATCAGCGCCCGGGTCTTGATGACCAACTCCATCAAGCTCATCCCGATTGTCAACGGGGAGGATTCGGAGAGTGTGACCAAGAGCGACGCGGACCAGAACAACACCTCTCCTCAGGCACCTGTGCGACGGCGGACTAAAGCCATCGGGATGCCCTCCAGGCGGAAGATCAAAAGCTCCCCGCCGATGGACTTGCAGTTGTTTGGGATGTCCCCGCCACGGGAGGTGGACATCGCGGAGGAGGAGTCCAGCTCCAAGTTGTGGGGGAGGAAGGGATCAGTGGAGAGTCCTGAAGGATCCAAAGGGACCTCGGTCCTGGAGAAGATCACCCGGGCGATGAAGACCAAGAACAAAGTCCGCAGAGAGCTGAGCCTTGGAATGGAGCCGGGGAAGCAGTCGCGGGGCACCCAAAACAACCAAGGTGAGGAGGTTGAGCGACAGACAAATGGTAAACAGGACGGAATGCAAAGGACACAGGATGTGGACTCGCAGACAAATGAGGAGCTCCCGGATGGCGAGACTGTCCATGGCTCACTGGCCCGACCAAGGTCCTTATCGGCGCGCGCCCACTCAAACACGGACTCAGATCTATTTGACGACCTCTTTCCACCCGAGACAAAGTTCAGCTTGGACACAGTTTTGTCGGAGTATGACAACATAATGGAGAAATACAGCAACCGGGCTCTCACACCGGATTTTGACACCAGTGCCGAGGAGGGGGCATCCGGGAAGCGGACGTCTTTCCCCCGGGCCCCTCTGGAGACCGAGGAGTACCAGCCCATCCCCCAGTTTTTGGACACGCTGGACGAAAGCTACAACCAGTCATTATCGGACAATGAGAATGAGCACGACAGAACAGTAGAACCGGCGACCTGCGAACACTCAGAGCCGCTGCTTATTGTCGAGGAGTGCAATGCCCCCGTGGAATCACCCCCAATTTCCCCAATGGAATCATCCCGACACAGTGCAACTTTACCTCAAGGGGATACGCCATTACTGTCTTCGGGGGGCAGTCAGTCCCTTGCAACAAGTTTGGAAGCCAGCTCGAAGAGGGAACATGAACAAAGCGGTAACAGCCCGGAGGTCGATCTGAAATTTAACTTTGAGATTCTCAACAGGGAATCGGACATCATTGATTTCAACAGTGTGGAACACGGGGAAACAGAAAAGTTGGATTCGAGTTTAGAAGTGTGGCACGACGCATCTGATAACGTCCTGGTTGACCCGGCGTTGGACCGTGCCGCAAAACCGGATGTTGCGGTCTCCAGTGAAGCATCTGAAGAGCTTTACCATGACGTAGAGCAAGAAGACACCAGCCTGAGTCTAGACCTGGGCAACCCGTCACTAGATGAGGACCAGGGCCTTCACGAGATGAAGTTTCCCCCTGAAGAGGATCTGGACTCCTCCATCTTGGGACTCAAGCCGGGCTTCGGGGGCCTCTCCCCGGAGATCCGCGCCAGCCAAGCCACTCTTGCCTCGCAGTACGACAATCTGGAAGACAGCTTCTCCGACAGGGGAGTGGGTTGCAATGTCCGAACAGCCACCCCGCCAGCGTGTGACATGCTGGACTCTCCCTTTGAGGTGGTCGAGTCGCCTTTCTGTACGCCCTCCGATGAGCTTGGGGAAAGCGGACAGGGTACATACGGGTTGGCCCTGGACGAAGTTGTGGAACATGTAATAGAATTGTAACTCCCTTGTTTCCAACATTGTCCCCGTGTGTATATGTTTTAAATTCCTGTTTATTATATGCCTGCTTGAGCAGAACAGAAGAAGCTTGAAATATACAAATTGCAATATTGATCCACCTTTAACCTAGTCTGTGTATCACCCGTTGTTCAACGGAGCCCTCTCCGTAACAGACGTGTGATATATGTGAGCAATGCAAATTGTATGCGATCCCGCGCACCAGCCAATCGGAGTTGACTTTAGAATTTGTGACGTCGTTTCGATCAGAAATGTGGACTAAGCTGTTGATTGGCCAATTTGGCTGCCATGATTTTGTAATACATCAACGGGTTACGGAAGACCCGATAGAAGGCGCCCGCTGAATGGTCAGAATCTCGAGGTCAAGACGCAGTCTTGTTTTTGCATAATTAATCGCAGAATCGCATAATTAATCGCAGAATCTGCTTGCACATTACTATTTAATTATTAATCATTTCTGGTAATGAAACCAAGGATTCCTCAAAAGCGCCCTAGGCACTGTAGCTCGCAAGCCTGAAGAAACCTGTGGAGAGAAGACAATGAGAAGAAGTTATAGTTATAGAAGTGGGAGGAAAAGCCCAGAAGAATATTCTGGGGAAAACTCACGGAATCAGGTAGGGACTGAAAAGCCACTCCACATAATGGCCCAGGCGGGACTTGAACCTAGGTCACAGCGGTGGAAGGCGAGGGAAGTACCCCTACGTCAACCTGACTCCTGATGCCAATAGACGTTTGCTGTGCAAGGGGAGATTCCATAGACTACCTTTTACCACTTTTCACTAAAAAATAACCAACATAATTCTGGATATTTTGATAAAATTATGACCTCTTCTTAGACTCATTTTCAGAGTTGTGCTAAGCAGCGCAAGACATTCAGCTAACACTGTACACTGTACATGGAATTTGCCACTGTCTGGACTTCCAAACGACTTTTGCTTAAAAAAAAAACTTTGAACAAAGAAATTGACTGTTGCAGAGTTTGAACCTGCGACCTCCGGATTACCGTTCCAGTGCTCTACCAACTGAGCTATCCAGCCCTGTGTTGGCGGTACCCTATTTAGTCAATGTCTTTGAAAATTTGAAGGAGAAAAAAATTGCTTAATATCGGCACCACTAAATTGGACCCTTGCCTGTTATTGTATCTACTGAAATTGCTTGAGATTTTGGGCTGTTGCAGTTTATAGACTGAGCTGTTCAGGGCAGTACATTGATAGTTTAACTCTCCTAGTAGGAAGCCAATACTCAGAGCAATATGTAAAACCTTTTAAACCCTGCAGGTCAGTTTCAGGTGAAGGGATATGAAGTGTTAAAGTAACTGAGTCACACAGAGAGTCACTGCACACACACAAACAGCATTGTGGAGAGCGGTGAAGCGTGACTGAATCTGCCTGCTTGCCCTGAGCTTAACCACACAAAAGAATTGTGCTGGGATTTGAAGTGTTATCCATACTCCACAGAAGATTACCTCAAAGGAATTTGAAGTGTGGGTGCCAACTCATAGACAAAAGTGGTTTTGCAAAACTTGAAGGGTTTTGAAGTGCAGAGGAGGGTTAACCCTATAGTCTTCTTCACTTCAAAACCCTTCAAGTTTTTGCAAAGCCACTTTTGCCCATAGAGTTAGCACCCATACTTCAAATTCCTTTGAGGTAATCTTCTGTGGAGTATGGATAACACTTCAAATCCCTGCACAATTCTTTTGTGTGGTTAAGCTCAGGGCAAGCAGGCAGATTCAGTCATGCTTCACTGCTCTCCACAGTGCTGTTTTCGTGTGTGCAGTGACTCTCTGTGTGACACAGTTACTTTAACACTTCATATCCCTTCACCTGAAACTGACCTGCAGGGTTTTAAAGGGTTTAACATATTGCTCTGAATATTGACTTCCCACAAGAAGAGTTAATTTCACACTTTAAAGTGTGACATAACATTCATGGTATGAAGGATCATAAAATGGGTTTCCTGGCCTCTAAAAAAAAAAAAGCAGGACTTACAAGGGTAATTGTTGCCTACCCTTCCGTCCGATTTTTTTGTTTTTCATTTTGTGGAAGCAATATTTGGACAAGAAAAACCCACCAATTTTTACCACTGTTTGTACAATGTATGATTCCCGGGAAAGGATAATAACCCATTTTTATGCGCTCATGAATATGTATATACTGCAGGGTTTCAAAAGTGAAAGCATTATGTATCAGCAAGTCAAGTGGAAAAAATGGAGGGAAAAAATTATAATGTGTCAGCGTTGATACTAGTTACTTGTAATCCAATGTGTACGCCGCTCAAAAAAGATGTTTATATCGTGAAAAATCTGTATATCTGTGTCAGTTCAAAACAGTATTTAAACCTGAAATGTCAGTTACTGTCGGATATATATTAAAGGCTTCACTTGTTGGTATTGGTTTAAAAAAAAAAAGAAGTATTTTGTAAATTTACATGTACATGTAATAATCAAAAGCATTAATATACGGACAGGGGACATTGTATGCACTAGCCTAATTTTTTTTACCTCAACTTCTATTCTAGAAGTTCTATTCCACAGTAAATAGAAGTTCCATTGCACGGTCACACTATTGGTGGCTCTGACCAATCAGATGACGAGGATTTATTCAGGTGTTGTATAAAACAAATTATGAATGTTTCACATTCGTGCAATGGAAAGAGTAATTTCATTCGGTGACAGATGGAATGTTCCATTCCACTGGAACATTCCATCTGTCACCTCATGAAATTATTCTTACCATTGCACTCATAAACATTCAGTATTTGTATAATATCAAAAGGCATGGTTAACTTTAATTGGCAGTCAGTATTATCAACAGGATAAACTTTCTTTGCCGTTATTTTGTTCTAACCAAAAATAGTGCGCGCACTGCTATTTCAGCAGTGGCCGTACTATTTTTGTTATTACCAGATGACAAAATCTGCTTTTCTTCAATGCATTCATGCCTAACTGGCACATGAAGCACATTTCCAATGCATCAACCAATTCAGATTTGTACGGTATAAGATCATCAAGCTAAACTTGAAAATGCTAAAAATATGTCTCTGAAAAAAAAAGTGAGTAAGCAATCATCGTGGGAAGATTAACTAAGTGAGACTGTGATTTCCTACAATTAAATTAACAAGGGATTCCTGTGTATTTTGCCAGAATTGTGCCTGCGTGTTATAAAGCAGATATCGTTGCCTTGTCCTTGTAACTTAATATGAAATGCTTCCAAGAGTGATGGTGTTTTTATACAGCGTTGTGAATAAGTGTTTATGGCGCAATCTCTGAAACAGTTGACAGATCGTGACATGTACTGGTATCCTGCTTTTTTTTTTCGTGTATGCAGAGTCACAGACTACATGTAGATGTGCCTGTCAATGCACAAGTGGGGAAATAACAAGATTAACCGTAACATAACTCAACCCATCAAATCCGAACGGCATGTTTTGTTGGAATCTGTCTGGATGGGTACAGTACCCCTAAACTGACAGTCTTTGTACATTGGGTTGGCACACCTCCAGAATCAAAGTCAGAAATATGTGTACGTGTGTGCAGTTTCCCAGATGGTGTTGGAATTTGCCAGGATGGGTATGGTTCCTAGTAAATCATGCTAGGGAGTTCAGGTTAATCTTTGAAAACCTAGTTGAATTTTACGAAGTCTTTGTAAATATCTCGTGGCAAATGGTCGTACAATTTTGAGTGGTTCGTAAGCTTGTTTCGGGAATCCTCTCCCAACTGGTATCAATCAAGGGGTCAATAGGGTACCCAATAAAGTGACCCTAAATTTCTAGAATGATCCAGAAGCATCAATGGCCATGACAAATGGACGGGCACTTCTCTAATCGCGTCAATATTCTTTCAAACTACGTATGAAACCAAGTGACGGTTACTCTCGGCCTCGCATTCTGCAAGTGATGATAAAACGTGTGTCTACCATCATTTACAACACAAACCAAAAACAGCTGTTGTGAGCTACTTTTGTACATTTATTCAACGCTCCAAACACGGTTAAGGAAAAACCAAGTTCATATTGTCGTTTGTATACTAAATATAAACTATAAATACGTATAGATATGCAAATTTAAAATGGGTCACATAAGCATTTGTTAATTTAATACTGTTATTTATTCCATGTGGTGAAATGTGCCAAAATAATGTTCTTTTTGTGAACCTCTCATTGCTTCTCTGTAGAGATGTGACTAGAAGGATATCTGTGAGGCGCTCTGGCAAAGCGAGACTAAACTGGGCACAGGCCATAGGGGGAAAAAATGCAAAACCGATTTTTTTTTTTTTTCGATTTTCAGATTTATTGATACTAGACACATCGAGTTGGTGGATGTAGCGTAATCTTTGATATGTCTACTGCACATAGTTCAAAGAAATAGTATGAACATCGTAGAAGAAAAAAAAGTGTTTTCAAGGAAAAACAATTGGCATCTTTCATTTTAACGACTACAAAACCGAACTTTTAAAGGCCTTTTCCTTCAGTATTTTACTTCTCGACATGTCGACATAAAATGAATATTTGAACAGCCATAACTTGTCAAAGGAATGTCCGATTGAAGTGCAACAAACAGTATTGTGAGGAGGATTTCTTCTTCTTTTTTCTAGTACCCACAAACCCTCATTTTGACCTCGGCCCAGTCCTGTCTCATTTTGCCAGAACGCTTCACAAATATTGGTTGTCAGGAATACAAGTACAGAATGCCCATACAGGGTGAGTAATAAAAAAAAAAGGAAACCCCAAATGGCAGGACCATTTTCTTCATTAAGTTCTGCATGTAGCACTTTCAAAATCTTGGATATGAAAGCCCAATTAATAAGCCTCCTTTTAGTACAAGAATCATTCAAATCACTCATGTACTTTTCAAGTTTGGGAATTTTAAACACCCACAACAATTCAGATAGGGATGTACGTGAAGTGTTTTTGTTTTGCTGAAAGAACGCACACCTTTTTTGTGATCCGTGGACAGGACTTTAAAACGGTGGTTGTTTAAAATTCCGTAACTTGAAAAGTACATTAGTGATTTGAAGATTCTTGTATTAAAAGAAAGCTTATTATTTGGGCTTTCATATCCTAGATTTTGAAAGTGCTACATGCAGAACTTCCTAAAAAATAAATTAGTCCTGCCATTTGGGTTTCCCTTTTTCTTTTTTTTTTTCTTTTTTTTGACTCGCCCTGTTTTGTATGTACGAAAATAGTGATAGGGCTCTTCGATTTATTTTTCTTCTGGAGTTGAAATCTGAAATCTTCTCTTGCCAATAATTTGCTCTCTCCCTCTACGTCTTGATTTAAGACAGCACTTTAATTTCTCTTCAAAATGCTAAAAGAGGGTTCGTTTTGGCATTTGAGACTATTATTTTGTATTTAATAAACTAAGGGCTTTCCCCATAACCGAAGCTGAATGTACAGAGTGAGTCAAAAAGAAAGATACCCAAATTAACGATTTTTTTATCTTAAAAAGCAATCAAACTTGAAACACCAATGAAGTATATCTGCAACGCGCGTCCTCTTCCACTCATCTAAAAAAAAAAAAGAATGACTGAAATCGATCCATGCTATCAGGAGTTATGAACGCTTTACTAAAAGAATCATTTTTTATAGCTCAATGGAATGCCATTAGAAGCTATAGAGCTGGGCGAGAATTACAGATTAAACGACCGTGTTTCATTGTTCAAAATAGGCATTCATCAGGTTCGTAGAATGGTAATTGTTAAACCGCTGTCTTGAATACTGTATTTTCATTGGCCTAGAACGATCACGTGTTAAGTTTACAAAAAATCATGGCACACTCCCTGTGGGACATCACGCACGTACGGTACCGTACGGTGTAAAAACGCTTGTATCGCTGGTATCCAAGCTATTTTCACCATGTTTTCACACATGAGTGTGAGCAGTGAACTAGCGGACGATCAGCTTTATCGAGCACACGGCATGTGAGTTGACGTTCGATTGTCGTGATTGTTACTGCTGTTTGTTTTCGTTATTTTTACAACAAAATCCAAAGAATCCAAGACAGAGGTATAACAAAACAATTGTTGACTGGTGTGATGGAGGATATGACGTTTTGAACACCTTCGGGGCGCATAGCACCCTCGGCTTCGCCTCGGGTGTTCAAAACGTCATATCCCACATCACACCAGTCAACACTTCTTGTAAATTGATCAGTGGTGGACAGCCGAGTTTTGTCATCTTTTCATTGAAATTGACATAACTTTGGAACAGAGTACGCAAATTACGTGAAATGTTCACAATTAAAAGTCAATAAGATGTACTTTATGTAGATGTGGTAAGACATCTGCACTAGAAAGCAGGAGGTCGTGGGTTCGAGTCCCACCCGAGTGATATTTTTCCATCTTTCACTCGGGAGGTAACACACTGAGTTTACAGTGTTTAAACGTCGGTGAAGGGCAAAACCTAATTTGATGTACTTTATCCCTATTTTTTGGTGTGAAATGGAGCAAGCCAAATATTTCCAATATATTTTTCAATTAGGTAACTTTCTTTTTGACTCGCCCTGTAGTTTTAGGAAGGTGAACTTTAGTTGACAAGTGGTTGTGACAACGGAATCTATGTTAATAGTCCAACAACATTTCTAGTGTGAACAGTATGCATGTAGTCAGTCTGATAATTACATGTTTGCAGATTTGAGGTGGTTTTTTTCAATGAAAAATTACCCTACTTTAAATTCAAAGTCCTAAGCACATTTTGTAATTAGTTTATCGGAACTGACGTCTTCATTTTCTATGCCCTGTCTCAACCTCGAGTGAAAAAAAGAGTTTTTTATTCTTTAAATAAATTCCATTGGTGTTATTTGTTGATATATTACAAATGCTTCCTTGAATGTTTTTATAACTTTTTTTTACCCAAAAAATCTCAAAATGCACTTAAATGTGACATTTGTATTGTTGAACAGTTGAATTTATGTGTTGAACAGTTTCCAAGTTTTTTTTAAGATAATCTGCAATCTGTAGTTCTTTGAAAATAATCATCTGCAAAGAAATGGAATACATGTATATGTCGACAAGAGTAATCCTCGTTTTGAAGTGGTCGTATCTCTCAAGACTATGGGCAGAGTTTGTATAGAATAACGCACTTCAGGTGCTGAGAGTAGAGTGTGATTGCTGCATCATATTGAGGACTAAATTTTTCATGAACTGATGTTCTGAAGTTAAAAGAAAATGTTCTGAATTAAATGAGAAGAATATTATTTGTTTAATTATTAACAGCCCGTTGTAACTTGCCATACATGTGTATATAGCTTCCAAGTTGTACATAATTCATAGTTGAAGACATGTACTACATGCTCATAATTAAATATGCATTGGGTCATTAATAATTCAACAGGGTGGTTCGTGGTTGGCGGCTGCAAGCGTGCCTCGTATATAATATACATATATATAATTTATGCAAATTTATGCATTTCTGTTAATTTATGTTAACCATTTTTACATGGTGCTGTGTATGTTGATTGTTACATTGACGTCGTTGTTGGTGTTAATAAAATGTTGAATCTGGAATATGAGTTTTAAAAATAATGTTGTCACTTCCGAAACGGATCATTTTTGTCTGTTAAACGGGAATGTATTTTTTTACGCGCGAAAAACACAATCCGAATTGAAGCCAACTACAAATTTCTTTCAAAAGAGGGCGCGCTACACAAATAGCGGTGACCACCGTAAATGATTTTTGTCAACACGGAGAAAAATCTGCTTAACTAGAGTCAAACACTCGTTTCCATAAGATAATTCAGGATGTGCCTTTTGCATTGAATTAAAATGTCGTGCAGTTATTAGTCGTTACATATAACACGAATCTGTTGAATATCGAGACAAATCGTCAAACAATACAAATAATATAACCAGAACCATGTGGTGTGTTAAGCGCGAAAAAATTTAATCCGAAAATAAATCAACTTTCAGGAAAGTAACAAAAACAAAACACTCGTTTTCCGGAAGAAAACTACAGAAATACCTACTGTATTGTCTTGAAAATTCATCTCAGGATTGTTCGTGATATATAACACAAATCTACAGAAAATGAAGAGAAATCCCCAAACAATAAAAATGATATTTAACCAGAACAATGTGGTGTGTTAAGCGCGAAAATACAAACCGAATAAAAGGCATTCTTTCAGGGAACAAACACACCACACTCGTTTTCCGGAAAAAAACTCCAGAAATACCTGTAGTATTGTATTGCAATTTCGTCCAGGGATTGCCCGTGATATTTGACATATATAAATCTTTAGAATATAAAGAGAAATACTCAAACAATAAAAAAAATGAAATAACAAAAACAATGTAGTGTAGTTCTAGTGCGAAAAATGCAACTAAAATGTTCTTTCAAAAGAGGGCGCGCTATACAAATAGTGGTGACGTGACCGCAGTATTTTTGCCAACACGGAGAAAAAAAAACTCTGCCTAAATGAAGTTAAACGCACTCGTTTTCCGGAAGATAATTCAAGATTATACCCGTTTGCATTGAATTAAAATTTCGTCCAATTATTGGTCGTAACATATAATACAAATATGTTGAAAATCGAGAGAAATTGTTAAATAATAAAAACAATATTACCAAAACAATAGTGTCCAGCGCGAAAAATACAATCCGAATAAAAGTCAACTTTCGTGGAACAAAAGAACACACTCGTTTTCCGGACGATACCTCAAGAAATACCTGCTGTATTGAAATTAAATTCCCGTCACAACTTTCATCGAATATAGAGAGAAATCGTCAAACAATAAAAAATAATATAACCACAACAATGTGGTGCAATTAAGCGCGAAAATACCATCCGAATAAAAGTCAACTTTCAGGGAACAAAAACAACACACTCGTTTTCTGGAAGAAACACCGATCGTATTGTATAAAAAAATTTATTGAGAGATCCTCAAACAATAAAAAATATTTATAACCACGCGTTTCTCGCGGAAAAAAAAACACTTTCTTTCAAAAGAGGGCGCGCTACACAAACACCGTAAAGAATTTTTGTCAACACGGAGAAAACTCTGCCTAAAAGTTTAACTATTAAACTGAAGTCAAACACACTCACGTTTTCCAGGAGATAACTCAAGATATACCTGTTGTATTTAATTGAAATTCCGTCCAAAGATTGGTCGTAATATGTAACACAAATGTGATGATTATCGAAGAAATCGTCAAACAACACAAATAATATGACCGAAACAATGTGGTATGTTTATCGCGAAAAACCGTACGGAACAAATTAAGGCAAAAGTCGTTTTCCGGGAAATAACTCAGGAAATGATACCTGCTGTATTGAATTGACATTCGTCCTGGAAAATGTAATGGGATTGGTCGTACTTAACACAAATCTGTTGACTATCGAGAGTAATCGTCAAACAAAACAATGATATAATCAAAACAATGCAGTTCTAATCATAGTAATTAATGGTGGCTTTATTGCTCGAAACTTTAAAGGGTGCAACCAAGTAAATAGGCTCAAATGCTCTATGATAAGATACCAGTTCTGAGAGCCATGGAACTTGGGATTGAAAATATATGGCACTTGGGGCTTCCAAATCTGAGCATTTCGGATTAAAGGTCAGAAAGTGGCGCTATTAGCCAAGTTGTAGAGGGGTCTTCTAAATGCATGGCCACTTTTTCAGTTTGGGAAATATACTTCGTTTTAGGTGTGGTCTTTTTGGAGTGAGAATTTCTCCAAAAAAGTCATTGGTCAACCCACCAACAATTGAAAGGAAAACGAAATACGACAGGTTGATCATCATTTTTCTGTGCAGCCTGAAAACATGTGAGAGTTCTGAGTATTTTTAAAAGAATTTTGGAATTATGGGGATTATCACTGGTGTTTCTTGGTTGCACCATGGGAGGAATAAGAAGTTCGTATTACTCCATGGTTGCACCCTTTAAAACAGCTAGGGGTTTCCCTGACCCCGCCCCCTTCCCGGGACTGAAAAAAAAAATTATCGATTTTTGCAGTCTCTTAGTTTAGTATATTTTGTTGGTGGGATAAAAACATCGTGTCTGTGTATAGTACTTGCAGTTAAATCACGTAAATGTCATCTGTTTGATTCAGACAATCGATGACTCATTTTGGCGTTCCGCTTGAATGAATGAGTAAAGCAAACTTTTTCCGCAAAGTTAAAAATAAACCTGTAGGGCCCAAGCCCTAGACTGGCTCTCGCTAAGATCGCACACGTACGTGGACGGGATTGGGTCAAGGTTCCGTTTACCAAATGCATTATGCACACAGCGTATGCATTTTTCTTGAGCTTGGCAATGCCAACATGGAGTCGCACAGTGAGTCAAAGAGCAGCAACAGCGCTGACCAAAAAGACACCCAAAATCCCTCGTATTCGGTCCTGCTGGCCATCAAGACGCTGCGACAGCTCGTCATCAACAACATTGAGCATTACCAGAAGTCGAAAAGCAGCAGCGGCGAGAAGTTCTTCACGGTGTTCTGTCTGATCGAGGAAGAGAGCGATGCCGTACGGCCGGCGGTGGAGACGTTGGCGTCCATCGCGCCGCGGTTCGACTTCGATGAGCGGACGCCGGGGAACGGGTACCGCAGCCTGATCAGCGTGGTGGAGTGCTCCGTGGAAAAACTCATCCAAATCTCGCGATATGTGGCCGTCAATAGGGACAGTTTGCTGTTCAGGGCCGGCCACTATTTGAGGGTAAAAATTATAAAATCACGGGATTTCTCACGCTAAAAAACCGAAAAAATTATTGACTCCAAACTCGACAATGATGTTTAAATGATGATATTTTGCTCAAAAACAATTTGTAAAAAGTGGTAAGAATTTGCCTCAGATCACACCACAGAGCGTCTAGAATCCAAAATTGGAAAAAATATTGCAACCTGACGCCACTTTTCTCTTCATATATCATCTCAATGAAGGTCAGTCATACTCCTAGAACTAGTATGACTATGAGGCTCCGCGTGAGCGGAGCCTCATAAAGACTGGATAGCGGATATGCATACAACATTCACACAGTAGACTTTGCATATTGACCAATTCGCCCCCGGTCTCACGAAGATGGCCGCGCATAATATGAACGTTCTACGCGTAAATACGCGCGCGTTGTATCAACAGTTGACGCGCATTTTGGTCACGTACACATATTATGATGTTCTACAAGGAACACATTTCCGTAGTGATTATTATTTCAAAAACGCCGAAAAAGTGATTTGCGGCATTATAAAAGTAACCACTACGTTAGAAAAATTGTAGTAAACCTTGGTCAGTTGGTCAGTGGTCAGGTGGTGGTGGCCAAAATATAAGTCAAGTGAGCCGCGACGTTACAAAAGAAATCATGCTGTCTATAAAGACGGCAACTTGTCCTTTGTAGATCACTATTTTTCATCATTTTGGCCTAAAAACCGACAGAATCCACCTATGTTAGTTCCGCCCATGATACGTGAGTATGTCAAGAGGTAAAGTACGGAGTATAGGGGCAAACTGTGCAGCGGTTCTGTGTGAAATGGCTGCATTTTGATGGACGTTTTTGTACTTTATTAGTGTTTTGTGCTGCAGACAATTTTGCGGGCTTCTACATCTATGAGGCTCCGCTCACGCGGAGCCTCATAGTTCTAGGAGTAGGTCAGTCATTGCAAAAATGATGATAAGACGTAAACATGAATCTGGGAGTGGGACTGAGAAACATTTCCAATTTTGTTAGGAAATACTTGACGTAACCGCTGAAGTGGCATCAGGTTGCAACATTTTTCCCCCAAATTTTTCCAGGGCTCTTAACTAGCGGGCCTCGAACCCGACGCCGTTGGGGCGTCGCCCTTCACGCGCGCATTTAGTTCTGATCATCAAGCGCCATCGCCAAATTCTCACTCCCGGCTCTTACTCAAAGTTGGCAGCCACAGTTTATTTAGACGTGAACCGCTCTCGCATTTTGTTTCCATTCCTAGGCTAAGGCCCAAAAAAAAAAAGTCTCCGGTTTCTGGTATGGAGCTTGCCCAAAAAGTGGTGCGGCGACGCGGCTTTTTTTTTTTTTTTACCTGATTTTTTTGCTTCAAATGTCGGCTGATGACTGCAAATGGTGCCCGACTAAACTTAGTGCGAATATATGGGAGTCCAGAGAGGCCACATAAAGCTAAATTCTCGACCATAACCCAATCTAAAAACACGTTAAAATTGTGCAGCAGCAGGATTCCAGTCAAACCAGTGAGTTTTGCGGTTTTGAGACATCATCTTTCATTGAAAAAAAAACTTTTTCATTTTGCCGACGCGCATGGCTACGGCGACGCGCGCGCATACCAGAAACCGGAGACTTTTTTTTTGGCCTAAGGCTAGTCGGCAGATCATAAAGCGTCCTCATGCTCATATATGATATTAAATTACCATTTCTTGTCGAGCATACACGTGGCCTAGTACTTAGTAGTGGATACTGCGTCCGCCTCGCAAGCAATGCTGCTCGAGTATGAATTCCAGCGTGACCGATATTTTTGAAACTATATTTAGTGTCCCCAAAACAAAGCATTATCTTCTCTTAATCTTATTGTTTTAAATCAAATCCTACATTTCATTGCAGAGTATTCCGTGTTGTTTTCTGATTCGTGGCTCTGGAAAAAAAAATTTAAAAGGGAAATAGGCTTAAGTCCGAACTTATCGGATTCTCATTACTTTAACACGAAGTCACTATGCCAATGTGCCAGACGAAGATTGAAAACCCAGTCTCCGCACATTTAATGTATCTGGATGAAGGGAAGATACAACATTTGCAAACATCACAAAACGTTATGATCAAATAATCACGAAATACCTTACTAGATTGTTAGGGAATGACGGTCTAAAGCATCCTGTAAAATTGTGGCTCCTGGGGTACAATTAAGTATTTCTAGTATTTTGTATTTTTCTGCATTTCTGTTTGTTTTTTGTAATGCGCAGAAGAGTATATCCATATAGGTTTTGCACAATATAAATGTCCTTTATTATTATTATTATTATTACTGTCATTTTCAAGAAAAATGGTATTTTTCCAACGCTGGTCGGCCGACCAGCGTTGGAGAAAACTGGCTTTTTTTTCAAAAACTGCTCCTAATTTTTCATAATTAGTTATTCCGCGTTTTCTTCGCAATTGTTTGCACGCCTGTAAAGGGGTACAAGCCTGCTAGACTGATTCTCTGACCATACAATTTCCCAAAGTCATGATTGCTCCGTGTCATCTAAAGTGGGGTCAGGGAACAAGACTACAAGAACACGATTGGTTTTCATGGTTTTTCCAGCATCTACCAGCCCAAAACGTGAAACAAGTCATTTCAGCAATATTTGCTATATAACATAGGCTACTAATCCTCCAAATCCATTTATTTCCAAAAATTGCTGCAAAAGCTTATGTTGTACTTTCCCTTTAATCGAAATGATATTTTTATCCTTGTCTTTAGGAACTTGAAGCCTATGGCAAAGTGCTGAGCCAGCTGAGGGTGCTTCTGGGCTACGGGGAGAAGCTCCTAGCTTACTCGGACGTGGACCAGTGTCAGCTGTTTCCTGAGAAGGACCAGCTGGAACAGATGCCGATGGACATCATGCTGGAGGTCCAGGCCTTGGACAGGGAGTGCTTCTACGGACGCTGCTTGGGCTTTCAGGTCAGGTTTGAACCCTAACTCCCTACTGTCTTTTACTAAGTAGAGGACTAGCCCAGGTGGACTCCCTTTCCTCCCTACGTAACGGAGGGAGTCCAGGGTATGAAGTGCTCAAACCGGGCGAAAAAATTATGACCAATATTTTCAATATTTTTACCTTGTTGGAGAAGCCAATTTTTACGTTGTAGTATTCTATGTAGTCTTATCTATTGGGCCGCTGGGTTCAGGAATTCTATATGCGATGCTGACCGACCTTAATCTGGAAAATAAACTCGAAAGCAACGTTAAACTTGTACGTGTTTGTAGACTCTTTTCATCAGTTTCTCACCGCCGAGTCTATTCTAGTCGTACATGACGTCGTACGTCCGTGCAGCGTGTAGTCTGGTTCCCTAGACCTGACAATTATTCTCGGCGCTCATATCACGTCTGGTCTGGGAGCCAGACTATGCAGCGTGAATATGCAGTGCGCACGCGCGATTTGCTTAGTAACCATCCTCATACGCACGCGCACTTACAATGTACTTGAAGGCGCGGTCGCTAATCCAATGACCGAGCGTGTTTTCGTTACCAGAAACATGTTTCGGCTTTGGTCATTGGTTGAGCGTTTTCGTGACGTCGGTTGGCTGGAGTGACGACACTGTTCCAACCAAAACTAAACAAATGAGGGCGCTAGCGTGCGTGCGTGCTTTTGTGCGCACGTACATGACGTACGACTCGGGAATAAAACTGATGAAAAGAGACTACAAACACGTACAAGTTTAACGTTGCTTTAGAGTTTATTTTCCTGATTAATGTCGGTCAGCATCACATATGGAATCCCTGAACCCAGCGGCCCAATAGGTAAGGACACATAAAAAATGTAGGCATGAAATAAGCTTCTGTAACGAGGTAAAACGTAACAAAAATCTGGTCCACATTTTGGGTGGTCTTATGTAGAGAATTCTCATCCTGGACGTTAGTCGTAATGCAATGAAGACTTCGTCCAACCTGGGCTAAATAGAGGACCAGTCCACTCTGTTTCCGATACATGACAATGGAATACATGTATGGAATCCTCCACTGAAGTACATGTACATACTGTATAGTTATACCATGGTGCTAGATTGTGAATTTTTATTGGCCCGTCATCGATCACGTGACCTGGCTTAGACCACACAAGGTTCACGCAACCTGCATCGTGTGGACCTGTTTTGTTCAAAGGTCCACGCAAAGATGGCAAAGTTTGCATAGGATTGCATTCGCTGCCTACACACATTGCGTATGCGAAACGTTACTGCATGGTGTAGCCCCACTAGTGTGGCCGCGGTATGCTGCGCTGAACCTCTGGCCACACACCGTGGTACCGCGTACTACTGAGGGCGTTTTCATAAAAATTACTGTCAGTTTCGTACATATGGTTGTATTCTATGATGTCCCATCTATCACTTCTGGGATGCTTAGGTGTAATGATGTTCAATTTTCCGAGATATTCTTGAATCTTTCTGGAGCCCATATGCACTCTTGAAACGTCTGGTGATGGCAGCCATTTTGAAAAGAGATGACCTCAAGCTGCAGACAAGAGATGACCTCAAGCTGTGACATCGCGTTTATGCAAATTGCTTGTCGAGCGAGGGCGCGAGTTGCAAATGCGACGACTGTTTCCTGTGCTGTGGATCCTGAATAGAGATCAGTGCACGTGGCCCCCAGACGATAAATGCATGGTACAGGAAACAGCCGTCACATTTGCAACTCGCGCCCTCGCTCGACAAGCACTTTGCATAAACGCGACGTCACAGCTTGAGGTCATCTCTTGTCACATTCAAAATGGCTGCCATCACCCATGTCACCAGACGTTTCACGAGTGCATATGGGCTCCAGAAAGATTCAAGAATATCTCGGAAAATTGAACATCATTACACCTAAGCATCCCAGAAGTGATAGATGGGACATCATAGAATACAACCATTTGTAAGAAACTGACCGTAATTTTTATGAAAACGCCCTCAGTAGTACGCGGTACCACGGTGTGTGGCCAGAGGTTCAGCGCAGCATACCGCGGCCACACTAGTGGGGCTATGCATGATGTAGCCGGACCGTACGTACAGATTGAGATTGACCGCTGTTCTGTTTTGGCTGGTACCCGTTATTGATCTATGCGTAGATTGCCATCATCAAATGGCGATAGCGCAGCAGCTGAGTACAAAATGTCGATACTACCGTATCCTGATTATTGTTTGACGCTGTACACATGAATGGGATTCTGGAACTTTAGATAATCCCATGGACTAAAATGAAGTGTAAAAATGTGTGAGTAGTAGTGAAATAAAAATTGTTTGCTCGTCGAGCTGGCAACCTGTCCAACAAAATATTTTGGTTTTCCCGGGGCGTTGGGCACCAGATTTCGCGAGCCCTGTTCTTTGGGCGGTTGAAAATGTCGTTTCCACCACGTGATATTTGTGTGATCTCAAGCTGATACCGGTACAAGCCAATAACAAGTCAATCACAAGCCAAATCACAAGCCAGTCAAGTCAAATCACAAATCCGATCGCAAGCCAGTCACAAGTCAAATCACACTTCAGTCACAGGCCAATCACAAGTCAATCACAAGTCAATCACAAGTCAATCACAAGTCAATCACAAGTCAATCACAAGGCAATCACAAGGCAATCACAAGTCAATCACAAGTCAATCTTAAGTCAATCACAAGTCAATCACAAGTCAATCACAAGTCAATCACAAGTCAATCACAAGTCAATCACAAGTCAATCACAAGTCAATCACAAGTCAATCACAAGGCAATCATAAGTCAATCACAAGTCAATCACAAGTCAAATCACACTTCAATCACAGGTCAATCACAGGTCAATCACAAGTCAGTCACAAGTCAATGGCAAGTCAATCGCAAGTCAATCACAAGTCAATCACAAGTCAATCACAAGTCCAAATCACAAGTCAGTCAAGTCAAATCACAAATTTGATCACAAGCCGGTCACAAGTCAAATCACACTTCGGTCACTGGTCAATCACAAGTCAATCACAAATCCAATCACAAGCCAAAACACAAGTCCAATCACAAGCCAATCACAGCCTCACAGGTCTGTCACTTGTCATTTGCTTAATAACTTACTAACACTTGATTACAGTTTTTCATGTCGGAGTTACCAGTACAGTGTAACTTGCATTACTCATGCAAATAAAATAAGAGTATTGATAGAACTTTTTACATTGATGAAGTTCCACCTTTTTCATTTTATGTGACACACACTGTAGCAAAGAGTGATGTCGAAATTGTTACTGTTTTATGCAAAGTATACATGTAGTCGGAACTGCTCCGCATGTATGTACGGTACATGTAGCTTTTCAGCACATATGATGTATTATAAGATGGAATTTTGCGTCGGGGTGATATAAATCAAATTAGGTTTTGCCCTTCACCGACGTTTTTTAAGCGGTACCCGCTGCTATGTACATCAGATTCGAACCGGCCAACCGATCCCGTTAGGTCGAGTGGTAAGACATCTGCACTAGAAAGCAGGAGGTCGTGGGTTCGAGTCCCACCCGAGTGATTTTTTCCAACTTTCACTCGGGAGTTAACACACTGAGAATGCAGTGTTTAAAAAACGTCGGTGAAGGGCAAAACCTAATTTGATACATATGATGTACACGTGCAATAATCCAATGCATTTCCTATATTAGGCCTACATGTATTGGCGGTGACAGTTTCACTTTGTTCTGCCACGCTTGGTCACTCAACACGAACCAAAAATTCAAGGTGGAAAGACAGGTTAATCGGAAAAACCATTAGTTGTTAAAAACCTGAATTCTGTAAATAAAAAAGCAAACAAACAAACCGAGAAATTATAAGAAAACTATGGGAATCTACTGTTCACATCCAAAAGATTTGTTATTGTCTGGAGATTTTAGTGTCTTGTAGCCCATTACAATGTGTGCTCTAAGTATGCCTGCGTTTTTGTGGATATACATAGGCCTACATATATGTACAATATGTGCGAGTTCACAATCCAGTGTGACAGCTGTGGATCAGGACTTTAATTCTCTCTTCAAAATCACTCAGGCGTGCTCTTGCTATTTCTGTCATGCCTATCCAGTTGAGGGTTTTCTGTATACTGTATATTCAACCTTGTCTGAAGGAATACATTATAATACAATGTACATTCCATAGAGAATAGGATTGCATTGTAAAAGTATGCCATGGTTCATCATGCTCAAACTATGTCCGCCAAAGTATTTCAAAAATCTTGAATATCCGTGTGATTTAACCAAAGCAGGAAGTGGCATTCAGTATGTGTATATACTATTAAAGAGGTTGTGGAATGCTCGAAGACATTTCCGTCATTTTTCGGGTATATGTAGCCTAAGGTGTGATGAAATAAAAACGACTATTGTGTCTGTCATGAAATGAGTACAAAAGGTACTTTTGAGAGCTGTTTTTCAGATCCTGTTTCGACCCGAACGTGCAATTTGGGTAAAAGTCGTCGTTAGGGGCAGCAAACAAAACATAGTAAATCGTGACGTAATAAACAGGACTCCCGATGCAGCGTGGTATTTTTAAAACGAGTCCTGTTTTGCTGCCCCGAAACAGGACCTGAAAAACAGCTCTCAAAAGTACCTTTTGTACTCATTTCATGACAGACACAATAGTCGTTTTTATTTCATCACACCTTAGGCTACATATACCTGAAAAATGACGGAAATGTCTTCGAGCATTCCACAACCTCTTTAAAGAATGTGTCTTCTTGAAGCCGTAGATGTTCAAGCTAAGCGTAATTGTACAATTGGATTGTACATGCACATTGTACAAGGAAAATTGGACATATGAGACGTTTTGGCAAAATGTGACAGAACTGGGCACAGATCGAAATGAGGGTTTGCGGTTATTAGGAAAAAGGATAAAATTATCCTTACAATACTGTTTGTTGCACTTCAATCGGACATGTCGTTGACAAGTTTTGGCTGTTTAAAGTTTTCATCTGTCAACATGTCAAAAAAGTAAAAAGGTAAAGGGGACCAAAAAACGGAGTGCCCATCTCTCTTTCGAAGTGATTGGCCTAGACTGGAGTCCATGAAATGCTGCTGTGGGGGGATCGCCACACCTCCTCCACAGCGAGTCTGTTACCTTCCCAGCATTGAATAATGCCGGTACCCATTTAACACCTGGGTTGAGAGGAGTAATTGAGGTAAAGCGCCTTACTCAAGGGCACAACATGCATGGCCACGGCGGGGCTCGAACCCACAATCTCACGATCATGAATCCTGTTCTCTACTACTAGACCACACGTGCCCACAAAAAAAAGTACGATACCGAGTAAACGGCCTGTAACGTTCCGAGTTACCGGTGTGTACCTGTGAAAATGAAAGATGCAAATTGTTTTTCCTTAAAAAGACTTTTATTCCACTATTTTTTATACTATTTCTTTGAAATATGTGTAGTAGACATACCGGTTTATGTATCAAAGATTACAAATATCAATAAATCTGAACATTGAAAAAAAAAAATAAACCCCCAATTTTAAAAAAAAAAATCTCCATTTTTCTGACGCTAGTAGTAGTATGGCCTGTTCCGGTATGCCCAGTTCCGTCTTATTATGCCAGAACGAATTACATACATGTATTCAATTCAATCTGATTTTTTTCTGTTAATGTTAGGGTGCAACAAAATAATAATAAAAAAAGCAATTAGGCCTAATTATAACTCGTTTATTAAATATTTTTAAACAAAATTCTTTGTGAAAAGATTTTAATGAAATGGGACAGACTTTTTTTACAATATTAACTAGACATTTACGTTAGTTTTACTACTTTACCCTATACTATTATTTAACAAACATTTCAACGGAATATAAGTTTCATACAAAAAAATCATATTGCTTTCAAAATATCACTTCAACAAATGAGGAATTTGATCGTCCTTCAACCGGTTAGAAAATGCTGTCATTGTACTTTTCTGTACTGCCACAAAAAGTGCATACTTCACATATTGTTTATAAATTACCTAGTTGCTATTTATATCTCTGAACAAAAGGGGTTAGTTTTGTTTTATCTGATTACGAAGTACCCGGTAAGTCCCGTAATAGATGGAGCTTTATTGTAGTCTCAATATAGACAGTGCACTTGATAAGATGTCAGAAAACTAGATAATGGTATTATAAAGGGGAGATACATGGACATGTACAATGTAGCGGTTTGCATTTTATCTGTTTGTGGTCAGTGCGCTGTGGTCAACGGGCTGTGGTCAATTGCAGTGTAGTTTCTGTGGTCAGGGATCAGTGTTTGTGGTCAATGTTGACTTTGCATTATTTTTGAAAACCTTTGCATTTTTAAGCGTTCCTACCAGGAGCTGGAAACAGACTGAACAAAAATGGATTTCTTTATGTATTTAAATTCAGTCAAGTAAAAATTAAAGTCTGTCACGAGCCAACATCGCCCATTAGGCGGGCGCTTTTCTCCAGTTTCAGGAGCATTAAGCGACTGAGAATATTTCTACTCCCCCTGGATGGGATGCTAGTCCATTGCAGGTTACTCCCCAGCTAATGCCGGTACCCATTTATACTCCTGGGTGGAGAGAGGCAAGTGGGGGTGAAGTGGCTTGCCCAAGGACACAGCGTGTGACTAGCAGCTGGATTCGAACCCCTGACCCTCTGATTATGAGTCACGAACCCTAACCACTAGGCCACACTCCCCATATAAAATTCAGTAGGGAGGAAAAAAAAGACTAGAAATGTGCAACTTGAATACTTGTCATTTTTGAAGTTATTGGAAATATTTGGAATGATTTGAATTTGATAGACTTTTATTTATCTGTTAATTATTTTTTTATTTTTTTTTTTGGGGGGGGGGGGTGTATTCTGGACTTTTTCACAAGTACATGTACATGTACCCCATTAGATGCTTGAATGTCATTGCTGCTGTATTTCCGGCACCCATTTGAAGACATCAGGACTTGTCTTGTGCACATTCAAAGAAAAATACATACATAAAAATCATTGCACATGAAACCATTGTGCGCACGCATACCGGTACATGTACAGTCGAGTCTCGTTATAACAATTCGGACCTAGCCAAATTGTTTGTTTTATCAGAATTTTGTATTAAGAGGAACATCAGTCCCATTCATTGTGCACATAAATGCACAGTCGGGACCATGACTTTACATGTATGTTTGCTATAACCAGAATTTTGTATTAACAGAGTTTGTACTAACGAGAGTCGACTGTACATGAGTTGGCCACACAATGCCATCAAATTCCTACACAGAAGTCCAAAAGTACTGTAGTACTGTGGCGGAACTGGGTTGTTGTTGGAGTTGACCAGATTTTATCTCACAAAAATATTTATTAACCTCGAGCAAGGATGAGCGGTCACCCAGATGCAAGGGGGAATAATTATCGAACGGCGAACTAAGCCTAGAGGCTGTTCTTTGGTAGAAATATACCACCGCTCTGTGATTCAGTGATTACCTTAATGGAATTAGACTTTAGAGTAATATACTTAAAAACCTCAAAGGGACAAACGATTCCGAAGATGATTATTAATTGGTCTTATTTTTTAACCAGCACTTCAGCCATTATTTACACAGGCAATAGTTTTACACACAAATAGGCCTCAGTTATGATAAACCTCACTTACATGTATGATAAACCTCACGTGGTCAACTGCACCACATATGATAAACACAATGGACTTATACAATATAATCTTCACTGCCTTGATTGGTAATTCATAAATTATATAATAAGACAATTTACCCATTCCTACATGTATTAATTGGTCGAGAGCCTTTTCCATGTCTGGTTTTAAACAGTTGAAAAAGACCAGCTGGCTGATCTTTACCAGTGTCACATGATATTTTGACTCCTTTCAAATCCGGTGCCTTTTAGTTACCGTTTTATATTGGTTGAACGTTCACAATGCACACGTAAGCATGCGCAATACTACCGGTACCAGTGAAGCAGTATTTCAAAGACCTAATTTCACACAACACCGGCACAGCTGCATTCTGCGCGACATCGCGCATTACACGTGATGTGCACGCCAATCTCCATATAAGGAGTTGTTTACAACATGGACATTACCATAATGTAGCTACAGGGGTATTTATTACACAAGTTGTAAAATAAGGTACATATACACGTATGTACTTAGTGACTCAATACATGCATGTAAGCCTCACACAATTTAAGTTATTCCAATAGCACAGAATAACATGGGGTCGATTAACAAGGCGATTGTAATAACCCTCACGGGACCCTATGAACGCTACACCCGGGTCCAATAATCAGACCCAACCTTAAATAACCGACAACTGCCTCACCACAATCTACACGAAATCCTCGATAACATCTTAACTAACCGGCATTCGTAGATTTAAGAACTGCTACATGTACACTAACCGATCGCACCGGAGCACACACGAGGGCTCCTACCAATACAGGTACTTCGATCGCACCGAAGTCCTGCAGCCACAGTACAGCGCCAGACCCAGCACCAGAACTCAACACAAGTTCCCGCTGCTCTGAGGCTTGGCTTATTGCAGTTTGGCAACAGCACTCAGAACGAGTTCCTACGGCAACTAGGCTTCTACTACACGACTGCACCCGAACAAGCTCCTGCGGTATCGACGCCATCTTGCGAACAGACCAACACCATGCGGCAAGCGCCCAGACCTACATGTAGAGCAATGCGCGCTTCTGATTGGTCGCCGCGCGCTATGCATAGGTACGAGCATGAATTATTTATGACCAAGACTCCAGCACAAGTCTACGGTACATATAGACCCCTGTTTTGTTACGTTAAATGTTAATCAGATCTGCAGCAGTATGGCATGTACTATGTACCGTAGTACTTTTCCGTACGTTCAGTTTTAAATGTAAAAGACAAATTTTATAGGAGGAGATAAAACCAAAAAAATTTGTACATCCTAACTATCCTATCCTGATAGATACACTTTATACAAAATGTTGTTGGCTTTATTGTACTTCCCATTGTAAATTGTATAGGCCTACAAGTCATAAAATATAGTAAACTTTCATTACGTGACGTTGATACCGGTATAAACAATAACAAAGACACAAGCAACAAAAGAGATGCAATTGGTGCATTGAGGTGATACAATAGATCAGTTATAGATCTCCTTATGCGTCATAAATGCTTCCTCACTTCGCAAAAACTTCCTGATTACCCTTCATACATCCTGAATTGATGTATGACTACATGCATTTTCTTTATCGAACAGGAAACTGTTTAAAGGGAAACTACAACATTTGCAAACATCAAAAAATAATACAACCAAATCATTTTGAAATACCTTGCTGGACTGTTAGTGAATGAGAGTGTAAAGCATCCTGTAAAATCATGGCACCTGGTATACTGTCATTTTCAAGAAAAGTGGTATTTTTGTATCAATTTCCAACGCTGGTCGGCCGACCAACGTTGGAAAAAACTGGCTTTTTTTTCAAATACTGGCCCCAATTGACAATCGCACTTGTTTGCAATCGATTACACACCTATGAACGGGTACAAGCCAGCTAGACTGGTTCCCTGACCTTACAATTCCCCAATGTATGTTAACTGCTCTGTTTCTTCTTATATGGAGTCGGGGAACCAGACTACAGGAAAATGATTGTTTTTCTTGGTTTTTATAGCATTTTCGAAGCCAAAACCTCAAAAAAGTCAGTGTAACTATATTTGCTTTATATTTCCAACCCCCTAATTCCATCCATTTCTGAAAATAACAGCAAAAGCAAATGATGTTTATTCCCTTTAAATGTTGTACAATAATATGTATGTGTGTCTTCCTGCAGTTCTGTGACAGCATGTGGCAGTCGTTGCAGACCGTGGCCGTTGCCCTGGCATCTTACAGCGAGGGGTACCACAAACATGAAGGCACATTCTCCAGGGCAGCCGCCTCCATCTTCCATGGGTATGTGCATGCAAGGCCAGTCCAAAAAGATGTCTTGTTTATTGTCATGATAATGACAAATGTTTTGATAACTGCAGAAGAAAATTATGTGCTAATGGAATACATACAGAAAATTTTGGTATCTTTATAGAATTTGTTTGTCTTGGTGATGTGAATATTTTAACCCTATCCCCCTAGTAGTTCATTGGGACTACCCTGCTAAATCCAACAGAGTCCAACCGGACTTTCCTGCTCAATCCACTTTGCCTTATTTTCAGTTGTCTGCTGAATCCAACGGAGTCCAACTTGGCAATATTAAGCAGTTCAGTTGCCTGCTGAATCCAACATTTTGCATGAGGAATGTACACAAGGGGTTTACTGCTCAATCCAACAGGCTCCATCGGGTACATATGACATAGTTGGATCCTGTTGGATTCAGCAGGGTTTTAATTGAGTTTTGCTCTTTACCAACAGACAGGAATTTTGCTTGTACACAATTTGTTTGCGCAAATTAGAGTTCTGTGCTTAAATAGGGATTTACTGTAGCCTTTATGTGCTGCTGTGTACTGTAAGCACCGAATCGTTAGACCAAACAAAATAATCGTGTTGCTTCCGGTTAACCTACCTACCCTATTTTGACAGCCCCTACCCTAATTTTTTTGGGGGGGAGGGGGAATGAGGAAAATACCCCGAAAATCATCAATTACTACCTTTTACCCTTGACTACACGCAGACACCTCCATATGATCATACACAAAAAAATTGCCAAAAAAAATGTTTTCCCTACCTACATGTACCTACCCTGCTTTCAAATGCCATGTAATCGGCAGCAAAACTTTTTTGGGGGGCCTTAGTCATAGGCAGATTTGTATAATATTTTGTACACGTATGAAAAATCAGAGGCAGATCAAGGTTGATAAAAAGGCAGGAAGACAAATGAGATTTACAATGTAGGGTTGTAGCCGTACCTTTCTATTGTCTGCCTACATTTTTAAATCAAATTGAATCCCCCACTGCATGAACAGAGTGAGTCGAAAAAAAGGAAACCCAAATGTCGGGACCATTGTTTTAGTGAAGTTCTGCATGTAGCACTTTCAAAATCTAGGATATGAAAGCCCAATTCATAAGCTTTCTTTTAGTACAAGAATCATTCAAATCACTCATGTTTTTTTCAAGTTACGGAATTTCAAACACAACCACCATTTTAATGTTCTGTCTATGGATCACAAAAAAGGTGTGCGTTCTTTCAGCAAAACGAAAACAATTCACACACATCCCTATGTGATTTGTTTTCGTTTTTCTGAAAGAACACTTACCTTTTTTGTGATCCGTGGACAGAACCTTAAATCGTGGTTGTGTTGAAAATTCAAGATTTTGAAAGTGCTACATGCAGAACTTCACTAAAATAATAGTCCCAACATTTAGGTTTCGGTTTTTTTGCTCACCCTGTACATGTACAATGTAATTGACGAGCAGTTTGACCTGTTTTCCAGGAGCCGATACCTGACCAATCCAGAGGCCCGGGCCAAGCAGATTGTTAACGTCACCAACAAATCGGATATCAAGTTCTGCAAAGCATTCTGGTCCATCACTGAAGGCGATGTGATTGCGGTAAGAGAAAATCCGTAATTTTAGACAGTAAGTGTTGCAGGTACATGTATCACAGAGGACGTTCTTTGTTATTTCGATTTTAGTAAGGATCAGTGCACTAAAGGTTTGATCGGGGAATTGTCAGGTCAGGGTACCAGACTAGCTGGATTGCACCCGATTGTGTATCGGATTGCAAACAAACAAAATGTGGCCTGACTAAATTTGGTAAAATTGGGGGCAGTATTGAAAAAAAAGTCAGTTTTTTTCCAGCGATGGTCGGCTGACCATCGTTGGAAATTGATACAAAAACTCCACTTTTCTTGAAAATGACAGCACACCAGGTGCCATGATTTCACGGGATGCTTGAGACTATTATTCACTTACAGTCAAGTAAGGTATTTCATAATATTTTGGTAGTTTTATTTTTTGATGTTTGCAAATGTTGTATATTGCCTTTAACATCGGCTCTTTTTGCTGGACGTTGATGATGTAGTGATATCTAGTGTACAATCGTTATTACCCCTGATCGTCAGGCAAATCGCATTCCTGGAACATTTCCAATGCACTGACAGCTTCCATGCTTACATTTCAAATCTGAAGTCCATTTTAAATACATGGGAGGGGGGATATGTGGTACCGCATTTTCTCTGGAAACATTTCTTATGCAAAAAGCAGAAATTGAGGTAAAGCAACTTGCTCAAGAACACAAAAACACCACTACAGAGCAAGGGTCAACGTTCTTGTGGTTTTTTTTGCTTGCAGGAGATGTGCAACCTCATGGCTGGTAGCGTCGCCATCAACAAGCTGATCCAGATCCAGCCGCACACGTTTGAGTTGGACGGGGAAGACGGGGAACCGGTGACCATCGTACCGCCGTGTGCTCACACGGGACCAGGCAACGTGCAGATTCGGCTGCTGTCGTTTGTCGAACGAGACGGGCAGGTAAAGAAGAGTGATCAACAGCATGTGCATATTGCCAACAGTGCAAAAAATCTATCAAATCACATACTGGTACATGAACCAAAGCTGTGAATATTGGGCTTGTGTGACGTATGATGCTCACGCTAACTCAAGCCTTTGAAGCAACGTTTTCGAAAAAGAAAAGTGGGACTAGAATCAAGGTTAGTGTACTTAAACGGCTTCATTTTGGAGAACCAAAATTGTGTACCCTGACATTGCTTTGTGCAATAATTACATGAAACCAATTTTCAAGTCGTTGTTGTGTACACCAGGGGTGTGATTTTTCCGGATTTTTCCGGATTTCCGGATTTTTAATCTAACGTCTGCGAAATTTTTTTGCGGATTCCGGATTTTTAACGTTTTCTGTTTCCGTAATAATATCGCCCAAAAACTTCTGGCGAAATATAGGCTCTAATTTACGATAATGGATGGACTGGTGACAAGTCTAATGCAGTGCGGTCAAGAACCTAATAGACATTAATGCAGTATGCGCAGTGGAGTACTTGAGGACCAGACTAAAAATAATTTTCAATGGGTTTGCAGCACCTCGTGTTTGTATATCGCGTGTGGATGTGTGTGTGTGTATTGTGCATGTATTGTGCAGTGACGATCGTGTGCTAGCAATTCGCAAACACATTGGTGTCAATATTGCCGCGATTTTGTCAAGGAATTCAAGAGTATGGCTGGAAGAACTGGTAATAAAGTGTCACTGTGGATGGAAATCAGTTTGAGCTGCAGTAGTGCTTTGAAAAATAGCCACCACCAACACAAAATTTCAAAAATGTTTTGGAAGCCTAGCTGGGACTGGAGTTTAAAGTACTACTAAGATTAAACTTTTTCAGCACCGTTCATATTGTTTTGTGTGAATCGTTTCTCTCTGCAACATGCAAAAGTAATAACATCACACACAGAAAAAGCCTTTATGAATCAGTCACATATGGATTATATTATTTAATGACCAGACGTTTTTTCTTAATTTTTCCCCCATTTGTTTTCTTTACTGAAGCGACAAAATTTGCTAACATTACAGAAATTACAGTACATAAAATGTACATGCCCTAGGCCTATATATGGACATACGTGCATGCATATGTATACATGTACATCTATACAAGTACATGTACAATAATACATGTACATGTACATGTATATTACATGTCAACCGAAGTTCGTGGATTTTTCATTTTTGTCCAATCACACCCCTGGTACACTATTATATTCGACCTTTTATTGATCTTTCCAGGTATCCATACTTAGGAAATGCATTCACATTTTGTAAGAGACCCAAATTAGTCAGGTGGCTTAGATCTAATTTTCGTCAAGATCGTGACCGACTGGTCCAAAGCACCAAACTTGGCAGATAGATTCTTATAGACCTAGAGAAGATATTTAGAAGGGGTGACACCCAAAATTCTTTTGGGAAGGGTGCCTAATTTGCATAAATCGTTAATCCCTGCCGTGTAATATATTTATTCCCATATTTGGGTATATTTTTTTTTTTTTTTTTTTTTTAAAGTGTATTTTGGGGATTCTACTTACAAATCTTTACTTAAATCGCATTTTCCAAAGCATATAAGTGACTGAATAATTATGAGGACATAGTAACGATCCAAAATGGCTACTATTATGCCCTAAATTGCGCGCCTTTACCTTGTCCCCAGATATCATCAATTAGTCTTGCCAAACATCAGCATTGATGAACTTCAAATTCACCACGTAGCTTACTGGTACAGTTACCCTATTGAAACCTTATGCAAAATCATGTGAACAATGAGAACATTGTGTTATTAAGCCCAGAAAACAAAAACTGGGGAAAAAACGAGGTGTCCATAAATTGGGCTAACAAGTAAGGTGAAGGGTTGCCTAACATGGAAGACTGGAACAAGTTCAAGGAAATTCCCAAAATTATTGTTGAGAAAACGTTTTGGCGTAGACAAAATTATTGTAAACAACAATAATCTCTAATTTGGGGGGATTTTGTTGAACTTGTTCAAGTCCCCACGTTACCCTTCCCGTAGTAGCCCAATTTACGGACACCACATTTTCTCCCTTTTTTTGGTCTTTTGGGCCAAACATCAAGATGATATCAATTTTCACATGATTTCCCACTTATTTTTGTTAGGTTAACTATGTCAGTAAGTACCTTTGTGAATTTGAAGCTCATCAATACCCACGTTTGGCGAGAATAGTTGATGATATCTGAGGAAAAGGTAAATGCGCGTAACTTTAGGGTAAAATAGTAGCCATTTTGGTGATTTACTATGTCCTCTTAATTATTCAGTCACTTACATGCTTTACAAAATGTTATTGAAGTAAGAATATGCAAGTAGAATCACCAAAATACACTTTTCAAAAAAATAAAAAAAATAAAAATATACCCAAATATGGGGAAAATATATTACACGGCAGGGATTAACGATTTATGCAAATTAGGCACCCTTCCCAAAAGAATTTCACGTGTCACCCCTTCTAAATATCTTCTCTAGGTCTATAAAAATCTATCTGCCAAGTTTGGTGCTTTGGACCAGTCGGTCACGATTCCGACCATATGCCACCTGACTAAATGGCACCTTCTAGACAAAAGGCTTCCTTTAAAACCCTCCCTCTCTGGCTGGCAATTTCAACAAGGCCAGCCCAGCAGTCAAAATAAATCAAGTGACTGTTTTTAACAGTTGAGTGCTTCCTGCCTTCATGAAGCAGGATTGACTGGCTATGATTGTTATGAAACCTGATATACAAACGAACTTCGTATATCGCGGTCTAAAGGTACCTTAACGTGGGATGTTCTGCACAAACTATACCTTGTTCGAAAGCCTATGATGAGGCCAACAAGCTGGCAAAAGGACAGGTCTTGAAATTCAGTAGTTGTGGAGAAAATTAAAGATATAGTGCATCAATGCCAGTAGTAGCTGTGCTTTGACTGTAGGAGATTGATAAGCCAGCTGTGCCTACCAGTCGCCTGCTTTTGTCTGTTGATGGAATTTGACTGTCACAGTGCCTACAAGAAATACGATCTGACTGTTGGTGACTAGCCTGTGTATTAAGGCATGGCGGGGGAACAGGATTGAAATTTTGACTGTCTGTGACTGATCAAACAAAAGGAGGATTTTAATCATATTAAATTACTGGAGCGCTAACTCGTCATTCTTGCGCGCGGAGACGCTTTGAAGCCGTCCTGGGTGCAGACATTTTGAATTCATGTGTGTGTTTTAGAACATAATGGAATTAGATGGATTAAATTTGAAAGTGTACTCTACATGCAATGCGCAAGTACAAGGTACTCAAACAACTTAGGCGCGTCCTTACGAATTAAAAAAAAAGTTACGGTTAATCGTCTGCAGCGGATAAGCACACGCGCTGCGCTGTTTGCGTAGAGCAAAATGACATGCTCATTTGCTGATCGTGCGTTTCGGTTTTGGGCGTATCGGCTTCGATAATGCACCCGTATAGAATACAAACGCAGATATGCAAATAGCCGCACAAAAGCCGTACAAAATTTCGAGTTTTCCATAGGTTTGTGCACAAACATGGATGCGCCCAGCAGCCATCACTTTGTACATCGAGTCAACGCTCTAGTAATTAAATATAGCTCTATGGTTTTAATAGACCAGGATTTTTTCTTTTGTTTGTTTACAGAGCTGGTTGCACGACATCTCCCCTGAGAAGACTAACAAGGGAAAGGAGAAGGACCTACCGCCCAAGTCTGCAGCTCCCATGTCAAAGGGCATGCTCATACATATTCATGGCGGAGGCTTCGTTGCCCACACTTCCAAATCCCACGAGGTACATCAACACGATTTAACCCCACCCTGCATCAATAAATGTGATGCGATCAAGCTAAATGAGTCGGCCCTTAGGCCAAAAAAAAAAGTCTCTGGTTTCTGGTATGGAGCTTGCCCAAAAAGTGGTGCGGCGACGCGGCTTTTTTTTTACCTGTCTTTTTTGCTTCAAATGTCGGCTGATGACTGCAAATGGTGCCCGACTAAACTTAAAGCAAATATACGAGAGTCCAGAGAGGCCACATATAGCTTATTCTCGATCATAACCCCATCTAAAAACACGTTAAAATTGTGCAGCAGCAGGATTCCAGTCAAACCAGTGAGTTTGGCGGTTTTGAGACATCATCTTTTATTGAAAAAAAAACTTTTTCATTTTGCCGACGTGCATGGCTACGACGCGCGCGCATACCAGAAACCGGAGACTTTTTTTGGGGGGCCTCATCAAATTATTTTTACAATTATAAACAGAGCTATCTTTCAGTTTATATTTGGTGAAAACCCCATGTGAATACGACCTTCCGTTCAGAAGTTATGTGACTTAGAACACAGGCAGATCAGAAAGAAGAAAACAGAGAAATCAATCGGAGAAATCAACGATTCAAAATGGAAGTGTTTATTAAGCAACAGTAAACATGCTTTATTTTGGGTTATTTAATATTAACTCCTTAGCAAAAAGTCACATTTTAACTACTTTATCGTGAGGTTTTCTCGAAAAAAAAATTGGTTGACATGAAAGAGGACAAATGTAGCCTTACGATTTTACTAAAAAAGTCAATTTTGAAATTTCCAGCCCTACTGACTTATTTTTGGCTGTACAAATGTATTTTTAACATCATAATTGCCGACAAACGACTCATTTAACTTGATCGTATCACAAATGTCGAGCTGAGTACAGAAATAAGTGAGGCCATCTTGAATCAGTTTTTTGGGTCCACAATAGGGCCCAATGTATGCATATATTTGTATACCTTTTGGCCCACCAAGATGGCGCCCTAGTGACTTCAGCTTAGGAAGTCGATGCTCAATAGAAACAGATCAGTAAACCCTAGTGTAAGATTAAATCAACATGATTGACTGTCTATATACATTCCAGCAATCAAAATTAGAAGTCATTCTGAGGTGGAACCACACACACGTGTGTTCACCGTCGATCGTGGACGTTCTATTGTCCCTCTTTTGTCTGTACTCTAACTTTTTAGGAAGACTTCCATTGGTTTTATACACGACCCCAATCGCGGACGTATGCTGGGAATCATGGACGATATTGTTCTCTTTTGTTCTCTGGTATTTTTCGTCCATGGTTTGAAAAGGTGAACACGTATACGTCCGCGCACACGCTGCATGCTTTCTTAAAGACAAGCCACGTGCGCATTTTATGGTCAATGGAGCCCGGAGTGTGTGCATACTACCTGAGCGCTACTCGCCCGGTACCACCACGGAAAATGGCTGTCGCAGGTTTAGTCGGGTAGAGTGCAGGGTCCAAGGAAATTTTGGCAAAGTTCTTTCGGTTTTGCCAATTGAAATGTGGAATTATTATTGTATTTCTTTCTAGTGCATTTCTCACCATGTTAAAATTGTCAAACCTTCCCATTAAAGGTATAGTCCATCATTTGTAATTTGTGCACTTTGTTTGTTTGAAGCAACAAAAGTGCTCAAAATCTAAAGAAGGGTACTGAACAACTAACCTGATGAAGTTTCAGCTCAGCTTCAGCTGTATATTCCGAGAAAAACAGCATTCTAAGATCTCAATTTCAATTATAAGGTTGCCGAATCAAGTTTTAAATTAGGCCTGAATTCAGCCTCCGAGACACGTTCTCACTGAGCCGATTGCAGCTACTCGATGTTGCACACATATCCGACGAATTGTAGCAACCGAACATGCGTCGAGTCAACACTTGTGCACGCTTCGCCAAATAAAAACAGTCTTAAGACGCACCGTTGGCAAAGGCCTTCTTTCGTTGATTTTTTTTAAAATGACAGCATGCCAGAAAGAATAATTTCACAGGGAGTTTAGTCCCCTTACTAGCTTTCAACCAAATATGTTTTTCAACAATAATTACGTCAGTTACTTTTTGGATAGCTGCAAATGATGGACTGTAGCTTTAAAGGGAATATACAACATTAAATGTTGTACATTAAAAGCAAATTTTGCTTTTGCTGTAATTTCAGAAATGGATGATTTTGTGGGGTTAATATGTTGGTGTAGCATGGTGTTGTAAATGTACATCCGATACAGTATTTGACAATTTCTTTGCAATTGTCTTCCTTTACTCTGCAGATAAAGACTTTTCAACAAATTCTTCTTTTGTAATTCTATGTATTAAATTTAATCTGTGACCCACAGATCTACCTGAGGTCCTGGGCAAGGGATCTGGGAGTTCCAATCGTTTCCATCGACTACTCCCTCGCCCCCGAGCAGCCCTTCCCAAGAGCGTTTGAGGAGTGCTTCTTCGCCTACGCCTGGGCCATCAAGAATGCTGAATTTCTGGGCAAGTTTAAGATAAAGATTGGAAACTATTTTCCTTGATTTTGAATGATGCTTAGAAGGTTTGCAGTCACACAAAATGTTTTGGGTTTTTTTTCAAAGTTTAATAGTTGTGTACGGTTCAGAGAACTATATCACTTCTCATTAGCAGTCCTTCTGATTTGAGGCGTGCGATCACACCCCCACGCCATCGCACACCTAAAAGCTTCCCGAGAAGTGTGAATAATTGCACGCCTGAATTTCCCTGGACCACAGATCACACACCTAGAAAACCACACACCTAGAAAAAAACACACTCCTAGAAAAATCCAGGTGTGCCTTTTTCCACACGCCTGTGATTTTCAAATCAGAAGGACTGCATTAGCACAGAGCTTTTATTATAACACCTCACCCACAGATTCTGGGTCTTGATTGGCCGAAGGGAGTCACATGGCAATCGCTATTTTTGCTATCTTGCTGCGCACGGCAAAAAGTACTATACCCGTAGTAACCAAAGTACTATACGATGAGAACTGGTATTGTGTGCAAATGCGTATACGGGTATGTGTGTGCGTGTTGCGCTTATTGGTCTCAAGCGCTAGCGCTACAGCTGGGTTCAAACATTTCGGGAATGGGTAGTTTGGAAAAGTGCAAGTAAAGTTTCAACCAATTTCGTATTCAAATCGAAGTACATTTTAAGGGCTCGCTCAATGACGGCCATCTCTGTAGGAGAACTGCAACTGCGTATTTTACGCAATCAAGCACGCATTGCGCAGTGTTGAAAATGTTCCAAACACGCGCGCTTGTTGCTCGAAATGTGTTCGAAATACGACGCAGCGGATGTGCGTTATGCAAGTTGACGCTCAAAATGCCGATGCATGTGGCAGGACTGTAGGAAATGACGTCATTTGAATGAGACCTATTGTAAAATTAATCAGCTATCATGTAAAAATAAAGGAGAATCTGTGGGAGAGATGTTATAAAACAAATATTGACCTCATTACCTCGTGGTGTAGTAAAACTAGCCTCCCTTGGTGATCCATGGTGCATTCTATTTTCCCTCGGCGAACGCTTCGTGGATCACCTCGGGAGGCTAGTTTTACTACACCACTCGAAGCAGTCAATATTTGTATATTGAGTCAGAAGCTGTCTCATCACAAGTCGGTTACATGTACAATGAATGTGGTCCTTGGAGGGGCGACCACTCCCTCAATCCAGCAGAAGCCTCCAGCAATCTCTGTCAAATATTACATGGAGGCAGTTGAACTTGGCTTAAAGGGAATATACAACATTTGCAAACATCGAAAAATAAAACCACCAAGTTTTCACGAAATACCTTACTAGGATGTTGGTAAATGACAGTCTAAAGCATCCTGTAAAATGATGGCACCTGGTGTGAAGTCGTTTTCAAGAAAATGATATTTTTGCATACATTTCCAACAATGGTCGGCCGACCACCGTTGGAAAAACCTAACTATTTTTCAACTACTGCTCCAAATTTACAATTTTTTTTTTTCAGTCCAAATATTGTTTGCTATTGGTTACATGTTCATGAACGGGTGCAGGCCAGCTACAACTGGTTCCCTTACCTTACAATTTTCCGGCATCTATAAATTGATCCATTTCATCTTTAGTGGAGTCAGGGAACCAGACTACTTGAACTTTTTTGTTTTTCTTGGTTTTTCCAGCATTTTCGAACACAAAACTTCAAACATGTCAGTGTAACAATATTTGATCTATTATATACTAACCCCTCACATAGTTCATTTCTGAAAATAACAGCAAAAGCCAATGATGTACATTCCCTTTAAACTCACACAATGTGAATGTATAAATACTTGCAAATTTGCAAGTGACATTAGATGTTGACATTGGATGTTAATTTCATGCCTGCCATTTTTTGTAGCGGTCTACAGAGAGCACTTCATTGATCATATATAATTTTTTTTTTTACAGGGTCAACCGGTGAGCATATATGCCTGGCAGGAGACAGCGCAGGTGGCAATCTGAGTATTGCCGTTGCGATGAGAGCGGCGTCGTACGGCATACGCGCCCCTGACGGAGTCGTCCCGCTGTACACCCCATTCAACGTCCACTACCAGCCGTCGCCGTCCCGGATGCTCAGCCTGCTGGACCCCTTGCTGCCCATCGGCATCCTGATCCGATGCCTCGCGGCCTACGCCGGCCTGGAGGAGGAGTTCATCTCGGAGGAGATGGCCAACGCGATCATCGAGAAGGCCAATGACAAGTTTCACGTCGCCACGTCGCGCAAGTCGTCCCGGGGAAGCAGCGTGAGAAGCACGGACTCGACGGGCAGCCAGGAGGTATCCCAGGATGCTCAACAGTCTGAGATTAAAGAGGAGAAACCGAAGGAGGCGGTGGACTTGGATAACAACGTCCAGACGAGGAGCGAAGAAGACGATGATTCCTTTCTCAGGACGTTGGAAATGACCGACGCGTGGTCGCCGGATGTGGACGCCACGGAACTGAAGTTACCGTACACAGGGTCGGAGGTGTCCATGTCCAAAATGGAGCAGAATGGCGCGGCGACGTCCAACGGGGATGTCGTCCACTGCAAACGATCTGACGAACCGGAGACGATCGCCGTTGTCGATCCCAGCATGCCCCCTGGTTCCCCTTCCTTAAGGTCAAAGGTTATTCGTAAACCGACAGATTCCGGAAGCGGAGATCAAAAGCCAGCCTCAAACGACGTCACTCCTGCTCTGAAGAGAGAAAGCTTGACCCTTGACCTCGGGGAGGAGGAGCCAGTCGTCAAGATCGGGCCGGAGACGCCGTCGGCCTACGTGACTTCACCAATCAGAAAGCTGCGTGAGGTGCCGATCATGAGCAACTCCTACATGTCTCCGTTGTTTGCCACAGACGAACTCTTGAAAGGCCTACCTCCAGTTCACATCATTGTAAGTTTGAGACACGGCAAGATCTACCTAATAAGGCATAAAATAAGCTTCTCATCTCATACCAATATCAGTTTTGATGAGTGCTCAAATATTTCCTTAGTTTTGTGTCAAGAATACCAACTCACCTCTTTACTGATACTGGACCAGCTGCTACATGCTGATTGGCATGGGGAATTGTGCCTTTGATGATACAAGCATGGCATTTGGCACACAGTCAGAGCATGTCTTAAGAAAGATATTTAGCTATAGGGCCATCGCAGACTTGTCCTTCGATAAAAATATAGGTAGAATTTCAAGCAATTTTTAAAATTTTCAAAATGGCTGCCATTGCTTGTTCTAACTATTCAAAGGACAAATCTGCGGTGGCCCTATAGCCAAATATCTTTCTCATGACATTTTTCCAAAAGATCTGGCGGGAAAGTTAAACAAATTTAGCTGATTCGCCTGGCCATCCAGTTAAAAAAAAAGAGAAAACCCTGATTTAATGGATGATGTATTAACACAATCTGGCTGTTTTTATACCCACGCACGGCTGACAGGTTAAAACGTCAAGCCTCGACTCGCATCCAGATGACGTCTAAACACGCTAATCCCCCATTTGTTTTGTACACACACAAAGTCCGATAAGTCTGTGGTGGCAGACCTTGTGTTGAACTTGAACAAGGCCGCTGTGCACGGTCTGTTGTTCTACAATTTACGCTCCGTGGGCACACCCCAGAGTGTTGAAAAATATGAGGTTGCGGTAAGAAATATCGTTCAAATACTGTTGAAATGACTCTTGCGAATCAGAAATTTGTGGCGTTTGGCTGTGCAATGTACGTGTTATATCAAAAGTTGGCTGCTATATTTGGCTTTTTTCGAAAATCGAAATTTTTGGCAAAAATAATCCTCAGAGATGCCACTTTTCCGCTTTTTATAAAAAATGTCACAAAATTCCATTTTTTCCGGCTGTCGAATTAACCAGAAAAAGAGAAGAAAAACTGTGGAAATGCGTTGATTTTTACCTCGATTTAGTTCATTTAGGCGCACGCATGGCACAACGTTGTTCGTTGAAGTAGTCTTAAAAACAGTCTTTGTGTATGTTGTTGCCGAGCCTGCATGCGAAACAAGCGACCAACGTACTTGCCCGCATTATACAAAGGCGCCTCGCGCGTGCTGCACTGCGTGCGGGCATGTTGTGTGCTAAGCACACGTAGCATTCAGCCTGGAAATCAAGTCTATCATTTCAGCTATCGGTGGTTTCCGATCGCAGTGATATATTTTATGTGAATACAAAAAATGCGGGTACCAACCATGTTTTCGTTGAGCGCATCGCGTAGTGCAAGGATCATGTACACTGACAGCAGTGTTGTGGAATCGTGCATGTTTCGTGTCTAATATTACGTTGGAAATTCGGGTAGGCAGAATAAATATTAGGAATATGGAAAAAGTCAAAGTGATTGAACGAACCGACAGCTTTAAAGGCCATAGAAGCAAAATCAAAAAATAAACAGAACTTGGCTTGGCTACAAGATAAAGATGACAACGGGGACTTTGTGTCCCCATTTTTTTCAAGCAGACCCAGTTCCGTTTTTTTTTCAAGCAGACCCTGTGGCATCTCTGAATATACGCTCCATGGGCACACCCCGGAGTGTTGAAAAATATAAGGCTGCGGTAAAAAATATCGTACAAATACTGTTAAAATTACTCTTGCGAATCAGAAATTTGTGGCGTTTGGCTGTGCAATGTGTATCAAAAGTTGGCTGCTATATTTGGCAATCGAAATCGAAATTTCTGGCAAAAATAATCCTAGCGCTAAGGCCAAAAAAAAAAATTAGTCGGTCTCTGGTCAGCGCGCGAGTCGATTTTAAGCATGCGCGTCGATCTTTTTTTTTCCAAAATGTTCCGCGGTAGCTCCAACAGCGCCCTCTATTTCCGCACCTCCTCAATTTTTTTTACCAAAGAGCACCAAGGAATGGGAAACTGCACCAAGGCAAATGATCGAAACCACCAAGGCAAATTATGGAGGCCACCAATGTACATGAGGACACCAAAAAAGCAAAATAGTACCCACCTTGTCTGTACAATCCAAGCTGAAGAAAAAAAAAAAAAAAGCCGCGTGGCCGCGTCAATTCCGGAACTTTGGTCTGACCAGAGACCGAATATTTTTTTTTTGGCCTAAGTGGTTAAATTTTTTCTCGCAGGGGTTGCACTTACAGTCTGCTAGCTGCACATTTAAATGTCCCCCAATTTGTACTTTCCCCCCAGGGTTGCACCTTTGACCCCCTCCTGGACGACTCCATCATGTTCGCCCGTCGTCTGCGCTCCTTAAACTGCCCGGTCCACCTGGAGATCATCGATAAACTCCCCCACGGGTTCCTCCTGTTCTCCCCCGTCGGTAAGGAGTGCAAAGCGGCCTCCATGGTCTGCGTCAAGCACATCATGAAGGTATTGTACGGCTTCGACATCCAGGAGGAGGAAGAAGAGTTTTCAGAGCTCGACTCTGAAATGTATTAATTTAAGTTTTTGGGTTTATTTTAGTTTTCAAGGTAAATAAAAGATAAACATGCGTTCTTTCAGCAAAACGAAATCAATTCACAAACACATCCTTATGTGATTTGTTTTCGTTTTAGTGAAAGAACCTTACCTTCTTGCGATCCGTGGACAGAACCTTAAAACGGTGGTTGTGTTTATAAACTCCGTAACTGAAAAAGTACATGAGTGATTTGAATGATTCTTGTACTAAAAGAAAGCTTATGAATTGGGCTTTCATATCCTAGATTTTTAAAATGCTACATGCAGAACTTCAGTAAAACAATGGTTCCGACATTTGGGTTTCGGTTTTTTTTACTCGCCCTTTATTTGATTGTAGATGTACGGCAGAAAGTGCACTTGGCAAAATATTCTTATCTAAATGTGCACAAACTGAAATTGTTATATTGTGTCTTGCATACTGTAATTTCATAGGTCTAGAATGACCACGTGTCCAGTCTTTAAAATGAATACGTCACATACACTTTGGTGCATTTGAGTACCTCATATACACCGAATTGCATTGCGCGCCGTGAAGGGTGCGTGTGGAGGGCCCGCGCACCTCACAACGGAGAACTGCAACCTCTCAATCTCGTGTCTGGCAGGAAAGCTCACAGTAATCAAAAGGTTACACTGCAGTGATTCAATTTATTTCTTGAATAGTGTGTTATAAACCTTCATCTTTTAGACATATTGTTAACCCCTTAAGGACGGGGTGTAATAGGGACATTCCTCCACACATAGAGCAAGTGGCCCGCATGACTGCACAGCCTTTGTGTGGTAGCGGGACTGCACAAAAGCAGCAGCTGTGGAACTACCCACTAGCCGTGTGCCACGGCATACCACAGCTGGCAACTGCATTCCAATGAGGATTAGCGGCCGCGGCCATGACCCCTTCCCGTCCTTAAGGGGTTAAATATCTTTGGATGGACGCCTATAGGCATGCACAGAGTGAACGTACTGCTGCACTATGCTCTCATACCAGAAAGCTAGCTTGGGAGACGGAATATGTTCAAACAACAGGTGTACATAAATTAGGGAATTATCCACTTGCCCAATCAGCGGAAACATCCACTTGCCCAATCAGCGGAAACATCCACTTGCCCAATCAGCGGAAACATCCACTTGCCCAATCAGCGGAAACATCCACTTGCCCAATCAGTGGAAACATCCACTTGCCCAATCAGTGGAAACATCCACTTGCCCAATCAGTGGAAACATCCACTTGCCCAATCAGTGGAAACATCCACTTGCCCAATCAGTGGAAACATCCACTTGCCCAATCAGTTGAAACATCCATCAGCTCAATACTCACGGCCTTCATGTCAGGGGCTTAATATGCAATTTACAGATTTCTTGGTGGAATCAACAACATACATGTAGCTGCATGCATGCTGAAATATTGCCCCCTTACCATGTAGTAATTTTCATTTTTTTCTTTTCGTAAGGGGCGCATTGCTTAAAATTTAGTTACTACAGCATGGTGCTTGATGTAAAATATGGACCGTTTTGTGGTCTACATTGCCAAATAGAATGGAGTTTACAATGTGGCAAGTTACTTTATGCAACGCCTGAGTAAATCCCCGTCATCTGATCGATGGGTGGTTGATCACCTGTCCTTGAATTATTCGTCCCAGCCCATGGTCCGGCCGCACCTCAAAAGCAGACGTTCTATTCCGCGGTAAATAGACGTTGCACGATCACACGATTGGTGGCTCTGGCCAATCAGATGACGAGGGTTTATTCAGGTGTTGTATAAAACAAATATAAATGAATGTTTCACATTTCGTGCAATGGAAAGAATAATTTCATTCGGTGACAGATGGAAGGTTCCATTTGCCTCGTGGAATGGACCATCCATCTGTCGGCTTATGGAATTATTCTTAACATTGCACTCACAAACATTCTTTATTTGTATAATCCATTTCCTCGTCTTTCAGGTACATGTAGGTTTAACTCAAATGCCAGTTTGGCTGTACGAATTTCAGTCATTGATCTAGAGCAGGTCACAGACTTTTTAAAAATCTAATTTCCTTACAGCGGAGCGGTACTTGTGGCACTTCCTATCCTACTTTCTCCACTTTCCCTCTAAAACCCTTTTAACCCATTGACCTAATAATATCAGGCGTGCAACTTTTCCTCAGATCAGCTGATTTCCTCGTTTTTCACTTCACACTTATGCCATTGAAAATCGAAAAACACTGTACAAAGTGTTGCATTAAGCTTGCAGTTTCTTCTTTTTTTTTGGTTACTTCCAAGTTGCATGTCTGTAATATACTAAACTTTATTTATCATAGCCTTTCAATTGAACTTCAAAACAGCAGCTTACATACACAGCTGAAATATTACTTGAACCTTGAGAAAGAGTATTTTTTATTTTTTTTGCAAGAATACATACATGTTTATATATTTTTGGAATCGATTTGCATTTGGCAAATTAACTTTATTGGTAATTGAGGTCAACAGTTATTGCTGCCAATGTTTGTCTGGAGTCAGTTTCGCTACGCACAACTTAAGTCACAAGTTCTCTCTCTTTCTTTGTTTCCTTCTTTTCTTCCAAAAAGTGCAAACTTCTACGATGTGAAGAACAATGCACTGCAGATGTGGGCGTGCTCAGAATAATAAACGTGCTTGTCTCACTGTGCCAACAAATATCTGTGTATATACAGTGCTGGAGTGTAAAAAGAGTAAAATGGAAGTCAGAAAATAGCATCCCTCAATGCTGATTTGAATGCACCAAAGTAGGGTAAGCTGGCTGGGTCTGTTATCAAGGGGTTCCAGTCTCTGCAAGTTTGTGGGAAGAAACAATGAGGAGACCTGTGTCCTGCAGTGGGGCACGAGGAACCGTGAACTGTGATCTCTAGTGCTGGATGTAGCTTCAGTGAGGAAGGATCTCCAGTCTATGTCGACCAAGTGTGAATGACCAGACTTCTCCAGTGATGGTGGCCATGGGCTTGAGGATTAGTTTGCTCCAGGGTTAGGCCCGGCTGGTCCAGGTCCTTCGAGGTCATTCGCAATGATGTCAGGCCATCGCGTCGCTCCCTGTTGCTATTTGTAACTTCAGCCACAACTTTTCTCCCTTTGTGTGTTCTTTGTTTGGACTTGATCACAGTCATTCCAACACTTTTTTCCATGCATTGCTAGGTAGATGCTAACATCCTCCAAGTAACATTATCAGGCGATTTATCCTCAGCATTTGTCAGTTGCAAAACCTGGGATGCATCTTGTACATGTTCTGGAGATGAAATTGAAAAAATCAGTGATGATTATGAGCTGACGTAGATTACAAGAAGACGTAGAGGTAACGTGAATTACCAGACTTCTCCAATGCTGGCGGCCATGGCCTTCAGGGTTAGGTTGCGCCAGGGTTAGGTTGCTCCAGGGCTAGGCCCAGCTGGTCCAAGTGCCCTGGCTATGACAGCACGCCATCGTGTTCATGGCGCTCCGGCCCCGTGCTCGCTTCCAGCTGGTCATGTTCGCATAGAAATTGAAAATTCCATTTTTGTGGATGGTGCTTTCTGCAAGTAAACGAGGCATTTACGGCAGTTCAGTTGATGTGCTTTGGTGACCTTAATCAGCAGAACCACCCTTCTGTTGTGGAGGTTAGTCATAATCCAAACTTTTCTCAATTGTGCTTTCTGCAATATACCTAGGCCTGCTGCTGCGGTAGTCGGATTTGACATCCCGCAGCTGCAATCAGTCCTTCACATTGGTGTTCGGCCACCTGGTCTTGTCGTGGGCCAGTTGCCGTACGCAATGGAGTTGTCTCGCCGTGCTGAGGGGTCCGAGTCCAGCTTTCTGCAATGCAGTGCTTCAAATCACGTGTATCTTCTCTTGCATGTTCGACTGTGGACTGATGTGCATAGCATTGGTCATGTTGGTGGCTGAAACTGCCCGTTGTGTCCGATGAAGTCATTGAGTTTCTCTGCAGAATGGTCTGTTGGTGACTCAGTCAAGCCGTCAGATCTCGGAGGACTGCACACAATCGCATGTGTTGTGACCATATTCAAGCATTTATCAGAGTTGTCTATGCCAGTTGTTTGTAGAAAATTTCCCAGGTACAAGAACAACACGAGGATGCAGGTGGCGTTGCCTCTTCAGTCTTGAGGAGAGGCCAAGTTGTCGTGCTACAGTATGGAGGAAGGCTATCTGTAAAAAAAAAAGAAGTGAGAAGTCAACATTTAAATGGGCAGCTTGGTTCTCTCTAGAATGTAAGTTCCAACGCCTACAATGTAGTTTCCATTGTGTTCCCAACTTCAATACAATGGCATACTATTTACACGAATACACATATTCCCGTCTAGGTTTTACTGTTCTATGTTCAGTTCTGAAACCTGAATGAGTTCCCTGAATCATTTTGGATTTTTTTCCAACAAGAAATGAGAACAACATCCAATACTTTTTCTTACCCCTGCAGAGTTTCCAGAAGGCAATCTTAAATCCCACTGGCTTTCCATGAGGCTTCCAGAAAAGCAATTTTGCGGCTGTTAAACGACAGAGCCTGCTTCTAAAAGCCAAACGCTGATAACTTCATGAGACAACATTTCTTTGGCTAAGCCTGTGGAGAAATAGACATAGACTTACCCTGTAATTACATGTACAGAATAATTCACAACACTTCAAAAAAGAAAGGTCATCTTGAGGTTTCGAGATATCTTTGAATTTTTCGTCAAAGTAGCCTCTGAATTTTTTGAACGAAGATGCAGGATCAAAACTTCCTACGTCTGGATTCGACATACCTATCAAAGAAGAACTAGATTGAAATTGGACACGGCATATGTGATGCGATCTAGCTAAATGAATCGTTTGTCGGGAACTTTCATTTGGAGATTCAGGCCAAAATAGGGCCACTTCATCACAGCACTTCATCACATCTCTTGGTGTTCCGACTTCCATATTTTTGAACTAAAGATGGTACCAGCATGCGGTTTTCACAGCAGTAATGCTGAGATTGTGCTCTTTTCAAATCCGTCAACAACAAAAAATTGACTAAGGTCATCAAACGACTCATTTAGCTTGATCGCTTCACAAATATGGACAATTTGACGAGGAGCCTTAGCGTGTGCAGCGACCTGACGTTTCTAGCGGGCAATTTTAAATCCCCATTGGCTTTGGTACAAGGTTTCCAGAAAGGCATTTGAGGCTGTTAACAAATGTGTTATACTTACAGTCCAGCGGTGAACAGAAAGAGAGGAAAGTGCCATGTTTATGCATGGATTTTGGTCTCTGGGTTTGTTTTTCACGTCAGGTTTCTTTGATAGACTCTCTTAGGAGTACTTCTTCGGGTATTATTAAACAAAACGAACCAGTTAGAGTGGGCAAAGTGCAAGCACTACAAGTTGCTTAACTGAGCAACCCCCACACACCTGAAGCGTCGACGGGGAGTAATCCAGCAGTGTTGAAGCAGCAAGGCCTTGATGTGTTGGCATAGTTTGGTCTCTGGGGTTTGTTTTTCACGTCAGGTTTCTTCAATAGACTTCTGTACTTTGACTCTTTCTGCTTCTTGACTGTCACCCCTACTCGCCTGAAGCGTCGATGGGGAGTAATCCAGCAGTGTTGAAGCAGCAAGGCCTTGATGTGTTGGTATAGTTTGGTCTCTGGGGTTTGTTTTTCACATCAGGTTTCTTCAATAGACTTCTGTACTTTGACTCTTTCCGCTTCTTGACTGTCATCCCCACACACCTGAAGCGTCGATGGGGAGTAATCCAGCAGTGTTG